CTTGGGCAAGAGGTAATATGACATTGTAGCCGTTTGCCCTCACTGAACCTTGTTGGCAATCGTTAGCGTAGATAGCCTACTGATCCAAACCACACTTCACCACAAGACTGAGAAAGCAAACCCTGCCACTTGTGGACAAAGTTCGTCGCAGTCTACAAACAGAGAAGCCTCTCCTTACACACGGAAAGTTTTCCCAGAACCTTGCCATCGAGCCATTCTCTGGTAGACTCCTCAAGATGTGTAATGTGGGTTGCATACCGGAGTATCATACCCCAACATCTTGTACTATACCCCACATATCTCCGGATATAGCATATGGTGGAGGGGGTTAGTATAGCAGGACGAACTATAGAAACTTTAACAGAGTACCATTTCCTTGAAGCTGCCATCTAATCTTGCAGTGACCATCCTAATAAACCTAAACTTGTCTAGCGTGGCGATTGTCTAGGTGGACTGGAGTTAACACCATCCCTCTTAAAACAATATTGAGCCAATAGCGAAGTGGAGAAGGTCCTGGTGGCCAAATTTGTAGTTGGTGATCTCTAAATGATGGCAATAGCTGTGTCCCAAGCTTTACTCTTCTTGGTAGAGTTTCAATATTGAGTTTAACTCGGTGACGAGGAGGGTCTTTCGGTTGTAAGGAATATTGCTGATCAGTATGGGGTTCAAGCCCTGGAGTTTGGGGTATAAAATGCCTTCCCCAGAAACAAGAAGCTCCAGTTTTACAAATTCATGATTTGGTCTGAGTTTCTCATTCTAACATTTATCTACCTCTTCACATTCAGTCGCTGCTCACACCTTCATCAATATGTCTGACACTCGAGAGGCAAATCCAACCGCGATGGATACCGCTGAATCTGGGTCGTCACAATTTCACATCCAAAAGGAGAGACAGTCCGCTTTTCATGATGAACATGGTGCTGTGGCGTCTCTCCCTCAGCGGGAAGCCCACATACATACTGTTTCACAAGTGCCTCTGCCTCCATACCAAAAACTCGCAAATCCTGGCCCCTTGGGACTTCTAGCTTTCGCATTGACTACGTTCGTCCTTGGTCTCTATGAATGCGGTGCAGGGTAAGTGGATATATCTATACCATGCATGCAAGACCTGATAGTGACACTTGCATTTAGGCTACCTCATTCCAACCCTCAAGGCGGGGTTGGGCCTAACCAAGCTGCCTTCGGACTAGCCATTTTCTTTGGTGGTGGTGCCCAGTTTGTCGCCGGCATATTTGAGTTCCGCGTGGGCAACACCTTTGGTTGCACCGTTCATTGTTCCTATTCCGCCTTCTGGCTCAGCTACGCAATGTTTCTCATCCCATCTCTGGATATAAAGGGGCAGTATAACGGAGACGAACGGGCATACACCTTTGCGATCGGCATCTACCTGATAGTGTGGTGTTTCTTGACCGTACTGTTCCTCCTTGCGGCTCTGAGAACCAACCTGTCCATCATTCTTGTTTTCTTCTTCCTGATCATTGCATATCTGCTGTTGAGCATTGCCAACTTCATCGCAACGGAGCATCCTGCCCAAAGTGTGAAAGTAAATAAAGCCGGTGGTGCCTTTACAGTGATTTGCGCGTTTGTTGCCTTTTATGCTGGTGCATCTGGCCTGATGGTGCCAGAGACGACGTGGGTTAGGTTCCCTCTGGGCGAGATCCCTTAAGTTGTATTTGTTACTTGAAGTGACTTACATCTAACTAAGCACTGGGCCCCAAGCTTGCATAGTGGCTTAACTGCATATGGAATAATGATCGGCATTCTTCATGTGTGTTTGGGGGCGCGGATTTGCATATCCGAAGATCCAATTCGCTATACCGAATAAACTTCACATACAATATTGTTCACTGTTCTGGCTTTCACTACTATCCATTCAATACATGAAAAAAGGGATACGACGAGGAAGACTAAGGTTTTCAGGAAACATAAGAGTGTATGCTATGATGCTAATATAATCTCTGATTTTTGTATAAAAATCTGCGTTTCCCTCAACTTTTAGTCATTCACGATAATGATGAGGGAATATTGGCCTAGGATGTCGCTACTTCCCTTCCAATAATAAACTAGTTAATATGAATGATGCTTTCTGTCAGAATGGTACAATATAAATACCGACTCTTAGCTCATGGTACACAATGTAGCTTTATATTGAACTTAGCCAAACCAATGTAAGTCAATGGAATCGACTCGATCTATTTCCGCTTCTTTGATCATCGTATCGATTATCGATAATAAGGTCATTCTCAGAAATCTTCTTTGTTGCCAATTACTGTCCAGTTACATACAATATATCTTGCAAAAATCTGCACAAATTTGAAATCATACTACAGAACTAAGAAATAAGTTTCATTTGTCACCGCGAAGTCAACCTTACCTTTCCTAAACCTGAAGTCCCTATATAATGCGGCAAATGACAAGCCGAAAACCCAGAGCTTGAAGAGAATCAGACCAGTCTAGGGGAGCAGGGTGAACCAAAAAAGGCTAAAGGTGCAGTGGTCATTAAACGCCAGTGTTCGGGGCCAATCCGAATATGTTCGAGAGTGTATAGTACAGAGCAGTCCTTAATTGCTCTGTTTATGAAACTATTCACGACAAGTAAGATGGACTCCGAATTATAAACACTGGAGCCGGAAAGGCTTTGAGACACGAGCAAAAATTTGCAATGAGTTGATAACGGTTGGAAATGCAAAGTACGAGAAGCAGAATTGGTTATGGTGTTTGTGCTTGGGGATTGGTGTAACGACACAACACCGAAGTTGAAGACGCTCACCTCTTTTCATATATGCATGGATAAGATGCTATGGATGCCATATTTGGGAACAGGCAACCCTAACAGCTATTCTCAGCCATGAATAGCCTTCTACTATCTCGCGATATTCAAGATGTTTTCGACTCGGGAAAGCTGGTCATTCTCCCAGACTTTGCTGATAGACAAGCCGTAGCAGAGCTTCTCACCTGGATGCAAAGAGAAACTAGAGGACACGAAATCAAAGTCATTGATTTGTCATGGGACAGGCTTAATCATCCAATATACGGCTATTCATCAATAGATGGAGGGATCTGGATGGACAACGGCTTTATTTCCGCACAAGCTTCCGGCAAGCAGCGCGGTATCTATATTTTCACTATTGCAGCCAAATGTTGCTGCAGGCCTTGGGACATTACACAGGGGGTGCTCTACCAACACTGAAGGACGAGATTGGTACGTCCTTCTGGAGCACACCGAGAAAGTGAACTACGATGTCAAAAGTATTGCAACACCCGGATTCCCGCATCTGAGGCACCGTTCTTAAAGCTCAATATATCAATGAAATTGAAAGCTTTATTTTTTTTTTTTTTTCTCAAATTAGAGTCTATAGATTCCATAGCTCAGAATTTAGTATGTAATTCATATGCCTACCATAGAACTCGAGTTCTGTGCGGCTAGAACAAAACCTGGCCATACATAACCTCTTAATCAAGGGTATTCCACGCAGCCCAATAGCCTGCTTAAAACGCTCAATATCTATTTTTGACACCCCGTCTAAAAAGACCTTATGGTAGAGCTCCTTTAGCCACTTTTCAAGCAGATACCAGAAGTTCCGAGTAGAGTTTAAATCAGGCAAAGAGGGCAGCTAATCTATAACCCTCAACATGGAACCTATAAGCCGCGCAAAAGCACATCCATTACATATTAATTTGACAGTGACCGAATGATTTGTTGCTCTCGTTCAAAGTTCCTTGGGCCTTTGGTAAGAGTGGCTGTGTCAACATGACCGAAACACTAGGCACAAATTTCTAACTTGTTCGTTCGCGATGTTTGGGATGTATATCTTAGTGTCAATGGTGTCACCATTCCTGAGCTTTGCGAGACAATGCTTGACATTGGTAACTTTGAAGGAACCATCGGTTGGGTCTGTGGATAAAGATGTATCCTGCTTCAATGCGACGCAACTCATGGGTAGCCGGTAAAATGCGCTGCGTAATGAAGTGACGTATCAGAAAAACCCACGATTTTCTTTTGCAAGCTGAGATATCTACATGCGGGCATGATCTACCACAAAGTTATGAGATATGGCAGAGATCACTACCGATTCACTATGGCTTATCGTGCATGTTACCTACCTATCATGATGCACCACGTCTAGCTGTAGCATCCCATCAACGAAACTACCCTGTGGGCCAACACCCATTGTAATTGGCTCCGAATATCATCTTTCTCCACTATTGGGTTCTTTAGTGCACGGGCCTGAACGCTTTCTACGGTGGTTTGAGCTAGTGGGAAATTAAGTCCACGCGCAATCGTGGCAATTGTAAGATAAAGTTGGATGCCAGACTGGGTTATATTAAAGCATCATACCTAAGGACAGCCATCGAAAGTCTACTTAATATTAAATCATTACCTGCTGCCTTTACCAGAAGTAACTAAGTATTAATTTTGGCTGCTCGCTATGATGCAGCCTTTGTTCCACCAGCCTAGGATAAAGGTATCAAGGTATGGCAATAGCGACACATGCATGGGTACAAAGCAATGACGTGTCCATACATTCTCAGCCCTGAAGGTTGAGCTGAGCTGCATCCCGAAATGCCAATGATTCTGCCCCTCAATACATGCGGTAGCTCCTATCATGTAGCAGAAAGAATACCCCACAATTCAACCCATATTCAAGTAGCTTTCCAGACATGCGTAAGAGCTGAATAAATGTGGAGTTGTAGCACTTTTGTGTCACTTTCTGATTGCTCCCAATCCGCCATAGTATGTTAGGTAGCACTGCTGAAGGCATAGCTCTCTAGATGCATTTGGCTTTGGTGGGATAGGCACGGCTGCGCTTTCGTGCTTGTGATAGATTGACTGTGAGACTGGAAGGAGCTGCATGTCAACTTGGGCCCAGAGTTAAAAGGGCACCAATTGCCCTGACCTCTGTGCAAAAAGGTCTAGGAAACCAACACATCTTCTTTCTCTATACTTCCTACACGTATTTACATTGCCACCTTATTTCTCTAATTTGAACTATTTTGCCGTCTAGGCTCTCAGGGATCCCCCATCGATGGCTCCCCCATCAAACTCAGAGGAGCGCATCACAGCGTTGCGCTCCTTAGTCAATGGCAAGCGACAGCCTGCTGTTGGAAGTAACTATCGCAACGAAAGTTACCTCTTGGGCGTGGGGCTTCATGCTATAGTCCGCAAAAACAAGGGCCAGTCGCTCACCAGCATCGAAAGGACCCTCTACGACGCCATAACTATGGGTTCTGGAACATCTGAAATCAACGAGTACGGCAACGTCTTCAAAGAGGCCAAGGAGAATCACCGAACCGGTAGTGTGGCTTTCTTCCCTAAGCAAATAGTCGACGCCTCGGAAGACAAGGCATACACAATGGAGGCAATGGTCTCTGATATCGTTACTCTGCTGCCGGAGATACAAAACCAGCCCAACAACAAGGTCCAGGGGTTTAATAACTTCTTAGGGGGCCGTGTAGATAGTGAGGACTACACTGCTGCTCTTGGTATGGCTGCTGGAGGAACTGCTGTTCATTTTGATACCACCAACCCCAATAACATGACGGCTCCTCGCGCTGCTTTTGCAAATGATAATACCCTGGGAGCACCAACTGAGGCTCTCGCGCCGAGTGAGCAGAAAGCCGAGCCTGTGGCAAACCCCACGAAGCGCATCCGGCTTGTCATGACCAGATTCAAGTGCCACAAGAAGTCCTCTGAATGGGGCAAGGACGAGATATATTGGACGCGTTCGGCCGTGTCTGATACAGGAGACAAATTCTCGGGAGACCCCATTACCCGCGAGTATGGATCAATCCGAAGCGGAGACCTGAGGCAAATGGATGCAGGGACGGTGTTGTTTGATGGACAGGTCAAAGATGCCCTTGCCATCTTCATTCAATGCTGGGAAGCAGATCACAGCCAGACCAAGTGGTATGAGGATTTACGCAAAGCGATGGATGCAATTTCCCAAGGATTCAAGGCGTGGCTAGAGCAATATGGGGAGGTTATAGCCGAGTTCAACAAGCAACTTCCGATTGTAGGTAATGCCTACAAGATCCTCGGTTACATCTCGACGGCGACAAAGATCTTCGCATGGCTATTGGATAAGTTCCGCAACCACGACGACCTTGTGGCGGAGCGCACGATTGCCTTCTCTTAGCAAGCTTTAACCTGGTTTCTGGAGTTCCCCAACTGCGAGGCATCATTCATGTTTGATGGCGGGAAAGGCGGAAAACACGAACTCTGGATCCGGCGGGAATACGGGTTTGATCCGAATGACACAACCATCGGATCCTTGAAGACAATGACGGGGTCACCGGGTAATTACAGTATCCAGCCCTCCGTGCCGGGTCCTGGACGGAGTTTCTGGGGCATGAGTATGGTTGACTATAAGGGTGAGCTCTGGAGCTTCTTCAGTCGTTCACACAACAGCCTACTTTGTTATAGCATCTGGAACAATCAAACTGGATGGGGTGCCATGATCGAAATTCCTGGTAACTACACCAACGCAAAGCCAGCAGTAGCAACATTTGGCGATACTGTTCATGTATTATACAAAGGAGGCGATGGACGACTTTTGCACGTTGAGTACCTGCCAAAGAGTAGAACATGGACTCGTGCAGTACCGGTTGGCTCTGAAACTTTAACCTACTACAGCGGTGCCCTCGCCGGTTTTCACGATATGCTAGTTGGTGTCCATCAAGGCGGCGACCAGCGCCTGTACTGCACTGTCAAATGGCCGGGACAGAGCTGGCAAGACTGGAGTAAGATGAAGTCACCTGCTGGGGTAGACTTCAAGTTGGCCCCCGCTTTATGCGCCTACGAAGGCACCTTATATGTTTGGGCCTGTATCAATAGGAACTACCAGCTACACTGCTACTGGGTAGACATGAATACCAATCCTTGGACACTGGTTGATGAAAGACTCAGAGACACGGCAGCCCATAACACCAAATCTGCTCCTACAGTCATGGTCTATCCCAAAACTTCCTATGGCGATGTGATGTGGGGATTTTATCGTTATGAAAGCACTGGTGTCTGTATGAATTACGATCCGAAAAGTCGCATTGAAGACTTGGGCACTCCACCGCATCCGAAATCGGTGGGTGATCCGAGTGTTTGCAACTATGATGGGAAGATCTGGTATGGCTACAGCGACCGACTTTCGTAATTTCCTAGTTTACAGTCCCAGGACACACTCTAGCTAGAGGTATATTTAAAGCCATATTCATTGAAGCTATATAGGAAGTAGTTGACTCGGCAAGAGACATTTGACTGGATTTAGATCGGTTTATCTAGACTAGCTCCACTAGATATTGGTCAAATTGATTTTAAAGTTTCAGGAAAAATCAAGAACTATTATTATTATTAATACTCGGCTTAACTGGAGAATATTTGTCTCAGCTAGCCAAACCCTGGCTGCATTCCCAGTCCGGGTATACCGGTCAATTCGCGGTTGATCATCGATCTGCTCCTTGGAAGTACTACACCTTATCAATCCCAGCGCAAACGAGTAGTGAGTACCGGTAGAGCACATGAGTTTAAGATGCCCGAACGGTCTCATTACGGCACTGTACCGTCAGCTAGTGAGCTGCATGTCTTGTGTCCTGGCGATGGGGTTGTCTTCTATCACGTTGTGACTGTCGTGCATGATTGGCTCAAGGCTCGTGTATCGAAATAGCCACAATCCATCCATTCGCCACCATGCAGATGAGACCACATTTGCCTTCGTATTTGTCTTAAAATAGGATCAGATGCCTGGAGATTCGTGGGAGAAATACGAAAGGTAGATGCCACCAGGGAATCCGGGACTGCATGGCATGCCTTTCTAAAGCACCTCGTGGTTCGCAACCGCTGGTACATTAAGTCCTCGCACCGCATCCGAGAAGTTACACTGCTTCTAGAAACCACGCAACGTTTGCTGCTCCATATATGGCTAGATATATACACTGAAATCGTATAAGAATTGCTACCTTCTCGTGTTTCCTTGCTTCTTCCTTTCTAAATCATTACCTCGACAAGGATATCCTGAAAAAGAAATGCATATCATAACTCCCCTCCAACTCTGCACAGCTCTCACTGTGTTCACGAGTGTGATAATTTCCTCCTTTGCCATCGATACCCCTGCGACGAAAGATTCCACCATTTTTCGGTCCACCGTGAGCTGCCCTAGTTGTCCCGATCGCAACTGCTACAAATGCACGCTTGGTCACGATGCCACTCTCGAGGCCAACACCGGGGGACTGGCCTACATCCGCTCTCTAATCGCATTTCAACTTCCAGTCCAGGCTGCCTCTGTCACAGCATGTATAGTGCAATTTCCTGCCTTCACAAAGCAGATCCAAGCACCTGTTAATGTGACGGCCGCCCAGGCGCTCTCTTCCGACTGGGACGAGAATACCGTTACCGGAGAGAATGCACCGGATTCCGGTGACATTTTTACAGAAATTGAGGTACCTGCCTATGCGAACATAGGGGCCATCGATGTTACGCCTGCGTGTCAGGGAGCGGATGAAGATGGGAATTTTTCTATATTCCTAGGTACGAGGTTTGGCAGAATCGAGATTTGGTCGAAAGATTCGGGAAATCCCGCGATTCTTCACATTACATCATCTGCTTGAATGTTTGTATGTGATTTAAATGGTTCATGGTTATTGCTTCAACAAATCTGGGTTGGAGGGGCGACGCTGAGATCTAATGGTGGTCCGAGATATGTAGCACTGTGGATGTTTTAAGACGTTGACGGAGGAACATGATGCGGATATTGCTTTGCCATTCGCGCCTTCTATACTCTGTTGCAAAATCAGGGTCTCTCTGGCTCATTCATTAGGTTGATTGCACTAGAGTGCTAATTTGCCAACACTATTCAGCGAGCTTTTCTACTCGTGGTTACTTATATAGTTACGTGAGCATTTGAGATATAGGACATTTATCGTTTTCACGAATGAGCTCGGTAAGCGTGATACATTGAAGATCATTGCAGAAAGAACGTTGAATAACCAAGTGTCAGGACTTTTAGTTTTGCCCATAACGGACAGTATAAGCTATACTTGTCGGAACAATAGTAACAAGACTTCGAACCCTAAAAAAAAACGAAAAAAGGGAAAAAAAAGAAAAAAAAAAAGAAGTTGAGCACAAATGCAAACATACTGCAATGATAGTAGAAATGCCATCGATTACAGCTGGGTACAAGCAAGATTTCCATTACTCTGTTCCCTGTCAGTAGCATACACTTCAGTCATCCGTAAAAGAATAAACTTACAAGAGGAAAATTGCTGGTGCAACAATGCAGGGTTGTTCCCGAGGGGCAGGACACACTGCCCTTGGCTACAGAGGTCAGATATACGCGTTGGATATGCACGTGATAGGGACATACCTATACAGTTTTTCCCGACCGCACGAACGAAGAGGAGGTTGATAGGGAAAAAGATCTCGCAGCAGAATTGGTTCTTGCCCGTGCAATCATCCTTCTTTTCCAAGTCTTCTGCTGGGGCTGCTGTGGCCAAGCTGGCCATGGCGCACAGGGCTAGGATGGTCTTGATGTTCATGGCTGATTTTCCTTGTTGCGAATACTCGTTAATGTACGTGTAATTGAATAGATTATCATGTAAAACAGAGAGTGTAGGGTTGGAATCCACGTAATATTTATAGACCGACAGACAAGCCAGAATCTTAACTTCAGCGTATGCTCCAGCGTTATAGAGCGATCTGGGTGTCTCCGGACCAAGAAAAAAAGAAGGTTTGCTGGTTTGCCGTATCTAAACAGCACGCGAACCTTGGGACTGGCGTCTGAAAGTAGAAAAAGAGTCAGGCGACTGTCCCTTCTGTCAGACGACTGCCCCTTCTGTTAAGATCAATGGCCAATATAGGTTCATCCGAATTTCCAGACTATGGACATCTGGAATGTGGCGGAAAAAGGTTACCGCCAGTAGTGCGCCCTGTGAGCTATTCCTCAACCACTGTCCCCCAGAACGCCGGACCGTCATATAAAATCTAGACCACAATGGGAAAAAGAAACGTGTCATAGAAACTAGCCTAGAGCTGCTACGACCGCGTCTTTTGGAGGTTGCTACTACGTCAAGAATTGACGTTGCCTGTCGTTATCTATCATTGTTCCCAGTCTCCGTGCGAGAGATCGGCCTCAGGTCCCAGCCAGTAACTCCATGGGCCCTAAGATGTATCATGATCTTCATGATTATCCCTTACTGTACCCAAAGAAGATAAGATAAAATGTTCTTTACGGATCCTGGAGTTTCCGGGACCCGAGCAACTGCCGAGATCCACTCAAATCGGGCCGACGGCATTTCATTTACTGATCTGTATAGCTTCGTTATTCCCACAACAGAGCCTGCCACTCTTTCAGACTATGTTTAGAAGACAACCGCCATTTGAAGACAGTTCTATTGCTCGTCGCAAGTATCTAACGATCCCATTCTGCTTGGAACATACTGGCAGGTCATTACTCTCCGTACTGTAAATATGATTGACCTCCACAGCTTGTGACGTCAAATCAACCGCCGAGGGTCCACCCTGATTAATAATGTACTTCAAGTCGCGAGTCATTAGCGAAGATCTCAGGTCAAGTTCGGTAGTCATGCAAGCCTTAGATCCGTTAAAATAAATACTTCTAGTGACCCGGTAGAAATCAGACTCGTCCGGAGAAGGTAACGGAGTGAACTTGCGTAATTAAACCCTTCTGCTTTTCGCAATCATCAAGATGAAAGAAATCATCAACCTTCACGACTGCCAGACCAAGCTGGTTGAGTCTGCTATCCCGGAAATCAATGATGACCAGGTCTTGATCCGTGTCGTTGTCTCCGGGTCGAACCCCAAGGATTGGAAGGTGCCGGATCTTGCGCACAGCGAGGAGAAACCGTACTTTGAGCGCTACGAGAAAGTCCGACAGGGAGTAAATCAGGGCGATGATATCGCTGGGGTGGTCGAAAAGGTGGGGAAAAACGTAGTCGAATTTCAGGTGAGTCAGTCGCTTGAATCCTGTTACTGGTGATTGTTCGAAATTAATGGATATCTTGATGCCTCCCTCAGCCGGGCGATCGTGTCGGAGCTTTCCACGAAATGCTTATGCCTGGAGGCAGTTACGCCGAGTATGCGGTTGCTTGGAGTCATACCACGTTCCATTTGCCAGAGAAGATCTCATTTGAAGGTATATCAGACTGCCGTTTATCCTCCTTCCACTTTCATCGTTATTGTACAAGGCTAACTCCCAGTAGAGGCAGCCACAATCCCTCTAGCCGGTCTCACGGCAGTTGTATCTCTGTACCATCACCTCGGATTCCAATTGCCCTGGTCCCCAGCTGCCAAAGGCAAGATCCCCAGCGCCACGACACCGTTCATCGTGTACGGCGCAAGCACGGCGGTCGGGTCCTACGCGATCAAGCTCGCCAGACTCAGCAACATCCACCCGATCATTGCGATCGCCGGAAAGGGCGCCCATTACATCCGGAAATTCCTAGATGAAAGTAAGGGGGACGTAGTCGTCGATTACCGGGAGGGCCCCGAGAAAACCGCCGCTGGCATCCGCAATGCCCTGCGCTCATCGACTGGTGACAATGATCTCCCAGCAAACCACGCCCTGGATACAATTGTCACCGTGGACAGTACTGCCGTACTGCGATCTGTTATGAACCCCGGAGGGAACATTAATTATGTGCTTATGAGTCCCCCCGATGTTTCTCCTGCGGTTGCATCGAACACTTGGGTCAGTTCGGCGCACCAGATTGGTGGTGTTGATGATTGTCGCGATCTGTGTTTCGTGTTCTGTCGGTGGTTCACCCGGGCACTGCAGTCTGGGGAGTTGGAGAGCCATCCTTTTGAAGTCAGAAAAGATGGCTTGATGGGGATTGAGGGAGCGATGAGGGACTTGAGGGATGGAAAAGCGAGTGCAGTGAAGTATGTGTTTAGAATTGGCGAAACACCAGGACTAGAGAAGTCGGCATAGGTGCTATAATGCAACGAACGCTTGGCAAGGATATTAGATGAAACATGCTCCACTAAGCCAGGCATGGAAGAGCTCATACTGGCCCGAGGGGCCTCCACCCGGCAAAAAGGGTTCCATATGGCAATGGTTGCAATGTATACAGGGTAAACAAACGGAGAACTGAAGGTACGATTTTTGGCATCATAAATAATGAAGCAAACATTACTATTGAACTGCTGGTGCACAATTCACTGAGATCAACCACGTATAAAGGTGAAAGGCGCACCAAGCCTAGTCCCGTTCTAGACTATGTAAAAATATGTCCACTCACAGAGAAAAGACGATTATATACGGAACATATCCAAGGCCTCTTAGCTAAAGGCCGAGAAGCAGGAGCTCTTTGCATCGGATTCCTCCCATCCGATACACTTCCAGCAGTTCAACAACTGGTTAGGATCGTATTTGTTCTTGATGTTTAACAAAGGCTCGTAGTTCTCGCCCCACCAGGCTTCCTGCCAATCTTCGGTGAATGGGTTGGCCTCGCAGCTGTAGGCACCGCTGCCCGGGGTAATCTCCTCGAGGGTGGCGGTCATATTCTGCAGACCGGCAATTTTCTGCTTGCGCGTCTCCAGGGTGCTGTTCCAGGCCCAGGCAGTGCCGGAGCCCAGCTCCCAAACAGCAGTGCGCCAGGCGGGAGTCGCAGACGTGGAGTTCGCCGTGTAGTTGTACAGCACCGGGCCGACGATGGGGATGTAGGGACTTTGTCCGTTAGACTGGATGAGGGAGAAGAAATCCATAAGGTTCTTGCGGCCCTCGGCAGTTTCGAAGACAGCCTTGGGCACCAGACGACTACCGGCAAAATGGGTCACACCGACGCTAACCGCGTTGGAAGTGACATACTTTTCGTAGAAGGCGTACCAGGACGAGAACTGTTCAACTGTGGCCGAGCCACCCTGTGCTTTCGCATAGGCGATCACATCAGCAAGGGACTCCTGCGCTTGAGCGACAGAGAGTAAGGGGGTCACATTGATGAGGCTGCTACCACTGATGTGACCTCCCCAGCCTTCCGAAGCCCACTTCAGGGTGTTGTTGACAACGATATCCATAAAAGGCAACAGATTGCTCGAGTTCGAGGTAAATTTGATGATGGCAGCAACGAAGCTCAACTGAGGTTCAACTCGGTGGGTGCTCTCGATTACAACACCAAAGGTACCACCACCGCCGCCACGGAGAGCCCAGAAAAGATCCTGGTTCTGGCATTCGTTGGCGATGCGGTACTGGCCATCTGGTGTCACAACCTTAAATTGGATCACTCGATCAATGGCCAAACCGTAGACGGGAGACAAAATACTATGACCAGCGGTTTGCAAGAAACCACCGCTGGCGCCCACCGTAGGCGCATAGCCACCCAGGAATGTGACGTTATGTGTGTTGGCAAATGCATACACCTCGTTGAAGTTGACACCGGCCCCGATACTGATAGCCTGCACACCGGTTCCTGGCGCGGAGCAAGCACCACAGCCCTCAGGCTTGAAGTCGGCATGGTATGTTTTTGACTGCAGATTGCGTGTCCAGAGCGCTAAAGTTCCTTTCCCACTGCTACGGCCCAGGTAATCATGACCACTGTTCTTAATCGACAGACGAGTTCCTGAGCAGCGGGCGAACTTGAAGGCCTCGACGGCGTCGCTAGCCTGCTGCACCTCGAGGTAATACGAGGGTAAGTTACCTTGCTGGCAGACCATGTCGGTAAATGCCAACGGATCAGTCGGATCAGAGCTATCGAGCAAGCACTGGTCACTAGGGTTCGAGGCACACATCTCCACTTGGTTGTTCATGTATCCATTGGCAGAGTTAGCGCGCAGGTACGGATCGCTGTAGTTTCTCTGGATAATCGCACAGGCCTCATCGTTAGCCGCCACCTCGGTGCCATTGTAGTTCGAGAAGCAGGGAAGGGAGAAGGGTGTCAGGGGCAGAACACGGCCGCCGACGGTGGCATTGAAGCTGTCGAAATCACAGGTTCCAGCTGAAACGCCCAGCAGATGGACAGTCAGTGACACGAGCGAGGTTTTCAAAGTTGAAGGCGCCATCTTGCCACACGATGAGATCATGCACGGTGGGAAAACACCGGTGGATAAATCAAAACAGCCGTGAAGATCGCACCCGTTTCAGGAAAGTAATCAACGAGGCAGGAACCGTGTTAGCTTTTTATCCAAAATCCGGTACTGCGGCGACCCCTTGCAGAAGTCCCGGGTTGTTGGGAAACTAGTCTCAGAAAAGCGATCGGACATATATTGTTTCCGATCACAAATTTGCAACTTCGTCCACAGGTCTCTCTTCATTCCTTCTTGGGTGGTATACTCCGACAGTTCTTCTCGTACGATGGTGGGTAGGGAACGTATGGAGCACGGAGAACGTCCGTCCAGCCAAACATGGCGCATAAGCCAGGGGATACATACTAAGCTTTTAGTGGCAGAGGCCAAGACACAGGCTCAAGGAGCAATAAATTCCTTAGGGCTTCGGTGTCTCTTCGGGAATATGAGCGACGAGAATCCAATCACAGCGAAAAGTGCTGACCCGCCCAGTGGATCCTTCCCTTGTTCCAGGCTCCGTAATGAATCAGAGGCTGAAGGGTAGTCAAGCTTAATAGGAATAAGAACCGGCAAAAGATGGTAGAGGAAATGAGGCCCAAGAAAGAGGGAAACTCGAAAAATGTGGATCCACACTGCACATAGAAATTCCTTCGGGCCTCTCGCCGCGTGGCTCAATATAAAACATATTGCATTTCCCACTGGCAAGGGGTTTTTCTGTCTCACCTGCATGAACTAGTGAACTCTATCGGTTAATATCTGAAACAATTCAGAAATACCTATGCCGTCTGCCGTGCAGCGTAGTTTGGTAGAATGCTCGTCGAACCTGCAATCGAATTAGGGCTCCCTTGTGGTGCAGTAACCAGACTACCCAGACATCCCACGAGGAATGTGGATGGGAAAACGATCCCTGCCATTTTCAGTGTAGATCAACGCTGTCCATTTTTTAAAGATACTCCGTACTAAGTTCGGAAATAAAACAGCAGGTGAATCCCGCACTGGTCGATTGAAATCCCCGTCGATCTCCAGAGTCCAGAGGCCCGTCGAGGACAGTACGGTTGCGGCAAGGCCGGAATTCCAGTCTACGGACCATGGAAATGCGGCCAATTTACGCCATTAGTCTTAGGTTATGAGCCTGAGGCCCTTGGCACCCACCCAATAAGTAGAGTTTGAGACAAGCCTCTTGAACCGTCGATGAGGGATGAAGTAATGAAAAGGAATAACACTATAGAACCAACACCACACCCATAATCGCCGTCCCTCCTGAAGTCGCTCGCTTGCCATGAGGATGTCGGCCTGTTATCGCTTTGAACCGGAGATCTGATCGTTGAAACGTTTGACTGGCGGATCCTCTGGTTGAGGAGATCCATCGTAGTACACCGAAGATCGTCCACAGGATTGCCCTTCTCAGGTTGACCTCGCGGCCAATCCCCAGCCGTGCACGAGCATGACCATCGAAAACACATATTGGAAAAACGTCCTCACGGTCGTCCCTATCGTGGGTGCGGCCATCGCGACCCTGACCTATATTCTCCGGCTGGTATCCTGTCGCATCTCCACAGTAGGGCTGAGGCTGGAAGATCTCTTGATGGGCATCGGCTTGATCCTCTCCTATTGCGCCACCGCTTTTGTTATCTATAGTAGGTCCCTAGCTCGAGGGAAATACCGGAAGATATTGCTCACAATTCGTCAACAGCGGCATTCAATGGTGTGGGCGTCCGAACGAGCCTTTTGCCCCCAGATGAGCGGCATCGCATTCAATTTGTGAATTCCCCCCTGCTCTCTCCCTCCGACTCCGCTAATGCACCACTAGGGCTCATGGATGATTCAGAAATTCTGGGCGCCATCCATGGCGTTCGTCAAGATCTCGATTATTGTTTTCCTCCAACGCATCCTCGGCACAGTTCCTGCTTTTCGGATGGTCTCGAATTGCCTCATCGTCTTCATCGCTCTGTGGGCCGTCGTGGCGCTGCTCGTCAACATCTTCCAATGTAACCCGGTCCAATTCTACTACGATAAAACATTGCAAGGAGGCCATTGTATGCATGGCCAGACCAAATTTTTTCAGGCTATGGGAAGCATCGCCTTAGTGGAGGATGTGACGATTTTACTTATGCCGGTGCCGATCGTCTGGCGACTGAAGATCACGCTGCGCCAAAAGATCGCAGTAACTATTGTCTTCTCGTTGGGAGGATTGTACGTTGTGGAGTCTTTGTGTCCCGCACAACATCCGTGACACTAGAAACTGATTATCATAGGGTCTGTATCTTTAGTCTGATGCGTCTCATTGAATTCCGCAACTTTGTTGTCACGGATTTAGCTTGTAAGTTCCCAGCCACGCTCAAGACAGAGAATGAAGAAAAAAAGAGAGACACAGACTGATCAATCAACTCTAAATGCAGCATCCAGTGCCAAAGAGTCGATCTGGACGGTACTCGAACTCGATGTCGCCATTATCTGTGGTTGTCTCCCTCTCCTCAAACCCCTCCTGGCCGGATTTCTTGGCACCGTCAAGAGCATCTCGAAAGGCCAGTCTAATTCGGGCACGAAGTTATATTTCCACACAAGTGGGACTCACAATCACGACGGATTCCACAAAATCAGCGACCCACACGGGGCGACAGCCAGCCAAAGTCGGGAAGTGGCGACGCAGTCTACTCGGCGTGGGAGCTCAGAGATTGAACTGCAGGGAATTGAAGTACACACGGCGATCGAAAGTAGGTCGGAGGTTGCAAATAACCCTCATGTAGTGGAGAAAGGGGCATGGGCATTGCCATGATGGTTACCTAAGTTATATCTAGAATATGAGGACCTGTAAAATCAATGCCGAAAATGATCGCTACTGAGGCCACAAACGGCCGCCTTACCATCTGCCATCTAGGGAGCAGTGTAGCACCAGGATTATATGCGACTGAGTCACAAATTAATATATTCGGTTCAGGGCAGAGTGAAGAGGTATGAGGTTCTAGATAACCATGGGCAAGGTTTCCATGGCAGAGAAGCCTCTCCCCAAACCGAAAAATGTTGAGCATCTGAAGGTCGCTCTCGCTGTGGCCGCTATTCTTTAATCTGTTGTCTAGTTATTGCAGTTCTGTAACCTTGTGGCTGGATCAATTCACAGTCCACCGAGATCATGCATGTTCTGTGCCCCACATTCGTCATTTCGAACAGGCATTGACTCTGGCAAGGCGATTCAACCCACGCGAGAGCAGCAGTCCGGTAATCCTGGATGCTTTAATGACTCGGACTGTTTCATTGTCCAATCTTCCAGCTTCCTCGCTGAATGTATCCTAGGATACCTGCTCCAAAAGTACATCATATCCGACTGAACCATTCTGGAGGTGGACCGTGCTTCGATTCTCAATACTTGACTATATATCTATTCTGCTGTACTCAGTAGTGGTGGCTGCACCTGGTATCTCGTGGAGAAAGGGGGGTAGTGTCTCCCTTCGGACCAATTAAAAAGGCAGTGAGGCCGGTTGTACCGTGTATAAGCATGCATAAAGCCGATCATCCATGTGGAGTGACGGATCCTTATGGAAGATCATGAAACATTGTGATCCAGAAGCCAGGAAACGCCCCGTTCCTGGTTCCTGGCACAAGGTCATCATGTCGCAACACCTTCCTGTTTTTATTTTCCGACGATCTTTGCCTTGCCACTCATAAGCATCAATAGACGTATACTAATTATGTTTGATGCTGTTTGATCTGACAAAAGAAGATTACTGAATAGTCCTCTTGACCAGAATTGTATCCGTTCTTGGCCCGCAGCTTGTTCGCCAGCGAGCAACAACTGTTGAGGCAGCGTGGCATTCAAGGCAAGCCTTGACCAAATATTGCTAAACACAGGAGTGCCACACTTACTGTTCAATGAGGTCCACTTACTCATTCAGCCCTGGTCATGACGATGGGAAGAGTCGCCACGATCGTCGCACAGGCATGGGCCGTCGCTCGGCGTGTTTTTCTTTTTTTTCTTTTCTTTTCTTTTCTTTTCTTTTCTTTTTTTTTTTTTTTTTTGGGTTTCTCAGGACCTTCTTCATCAACTCGACACCAATCTGATACTGCGCAGAGACTGTTTGATCTATTTAGCGAGGACCATGGCATTGAGCGGCAAACGGAAAGGGGCATAATCCTGCCGAGTTGATACAGGACTCGGCAGCCTTTTCTTGGTGTCTATCTAATGGATGAAGCCCACAGGTTAATATGAATAATCGAGGGCCGCATATTCGTAACACGCTCTGGACGGGAAACTATGCAACTTGAGTATTCTGGTTAAGAGGATTAGAATCCTTTACCACCTCCAATCTACGAGTCGTTCCCACTTATGTTGTTGACATCCAGGCCATCTAGTCGAATAAGATCGAACAGTGATTGGCCCCATCGCGTGTCCATTGGCGGGATCCCATAGCTCTCCAAGCTGAAGTCGGTCAGATTAAATTCTAGCCCATCGTTCGGTGCCAGGTTGGGGACGGCGTCTGGATGATTACTGTCCGCCACCAGTACCTGACTGGATGGACCGCACAAATGGACGACTGATGTTTGATTCACTTGCTGTTTCGAATTAAGGAATACTTCAGCGACCTGGTAGAAAGCGTGGCAGATGCTATGTAGCCGCTTAATTCCTTCCGATACCATGGTGAGTGATTGGAGAGCGTCGACGAGTGATTTGAGAAGGCCAAGATCTTCCTCGTTTAATGAGGTGATGACGCTTATGAAGACCACAAAGAAGGGGGTAAAACTGCTATATAGCAATCCCCAAGTGACGTATGTGGACTGGTTTCCAGGACAATCGAGGAATTGTGGAATGGTTTGCAAATGACAAACCACACTCTGCCGAGCAGCTTCAAGGCACATGTCGCTCACCCGTAGAGATGACCCAGTTGGGCTTTGTGTGTTACCCCGGTAAAGAAGCGCGAGGATGGAGTAATACATCGGATATGTCGCAAGGACCAAAGACTTGAGCCCGTCTGAATGGTTAGGGCTCTCTTGACATATTTGATCAAGTTTGGCTTCCTTCCACATGGCCAGCTCTTGCGCCAGACTCGCAGTGTACACCAGCCTTTCTTCAGACGGCATTGCCAACGCGCGGACTGAGTAGACTAGATCATATACCTTTCCTTCCAGCCGACCAAAATAAATCCAGGCATGACATAAAAGGTCATAAGAGCGATAGTTCCGGTCACTAGACGGCTCGAATAATTCTGCGTCGATATCGTAGTCCTGTAAATTAGATGCCCTCCCGAGATTCAGAGAAATATTCTTGTCCAGCACATATACCAGCCAAAATACATGACGCTTCGATTCCGCAAGAAGAGAGCGATCTCCTTGTAAGGTGGATCGCCGGTGGTAGCCTAATGAAACGCAGATATTGGCAGCTGCTGTCAAAAGAGTACGGCATAGAAATGGGCGTGATAATCCCAAAGCCCGAATCGCACCCACTGTAAGTGCCTGAGCGTTTTCCAATGATTGTGAAGTTAACACTTCATAACTTTCAACACCCAGGCAGAAGTTCCTTTCGCAGAGGCCTAACCAGGAGCGTATTTCGGAGCTTGAGAATTCCACATCATTCTGCGGAAAGAGATGCTGGCCTTGTTCCCATAAGAGCCCGTACAACAGGGTCAGACGGCCGAGGGACACCTGCTCGGATGGAAAGTACACTTTCTGACATAACGTCTCGAGAAGGTTAGGATCTCTCCAGGCACAGGACAGAAAGATATCTGTAGGGCGTGCTGCGTTGGGCTTTAGCAAGTGGAGCAGCGAGTTGACCAGAGATTTTGTATATACCTTTGAATCTTCTCACAAGTGCAGCAGCAAATTCTACAGGTGGAAGTTCTAGACTATGCTTCGGAGAATCATTCCTGAAGACTGGAAAATGTGTGTTGCCGGCGGATAATTCCGACCGATGATGCTCAAGTGTATTTTTCAGATTCTTCAATGCATGAATCATGTGCTTCCCGGGCAGCCAGGCGTTCTCCTTGGAAGTGGTTTCGGCGACATTCTCGGCCAATCGTGCACTGCTTGCAAACGACGAATCGCCTTCGAATCCGGGGCTCAACTGCATGATCTGGGTAGCTCTGTCTGGCGGATGCACGTCTCTTAAGCCTAGAGAAGCCGAGCTGATATTGTTCCGTTGCTCAGCTTTTGCCGCAGAGGCGAGGTGGGTAAGATTCAGTTCTATACGATGAAGACGCTCTTGAATAAGTTGTATTTGGTTTTCACTCCGCAAAGGTTAGCGACTGCCGTTGAAGGCTTTGGGGTATTTACTATTGGGATGAAACATTAATGCGAGGTCGGTTTTCGTATTGTGTTTCAGCCGGGACGCATTGTATCCGCAGGTGTTGGCAATTGGAGCATGGTACAACTTTTTCGCATCGGATCTGGACATATGAGATGGCCGTCCATACTCCGTAGAGACACTTTGCGCCTCACCTTTCTCGCACGGCAACCTTGACACTATTCATACATCAGCCACTGACCGTTGGCAAGGCTCCCATACGAGTATAACTTACTGCCTTTGAGAGCTGCACAGAGCTGCCTTGTTGCATGTCCATACTATGCAATACTGCATGAAGTGTTAGATCGTGATCCCTAATTAAAATTCGCAAGGCCCGGGAGATTAAATGACTACTCGGAACCCGGACGGCCGCGACTGTGAACTGTGAACACTCTTGACGTTCCACTTCAGCGAGAAATTGATGACTCAGCGGAGCCCGGCGGGCCGGCATAACCCACTTTCTGTTGTATTGGACGGACCCCGAGCAGCCGCCGCTAAGCCCTTTTTGTCTCGCCTCATCCCATATAACCAGTATAAAGAACAAGCGGGCATATCAGACAATAACGTGAGGGCAGATGCTAATCGTCCATATGTTCTGTCTACCAGCAAAATGTCGTCAGAGCCGCGCCTCTTGCGTCTCCGGGCATCAACGCGCCTAATCATAGGGGCAGTAGCCTTTGCCGTGTTTACGGTTTGTCTGCTCATGCTTGTGCCATTAAGCTTTTGTGCTGACTATAGGGCGGACGCTCAGGACATGTTCTTATATGGCATTGTGAGACTCCTGAACAGCTTGCCAAAACTGCTATAAGAACGTCGCTAACAGGTTCATATCATTAGGTTGTTCCTGTCATCCCTACTGCGCTCGAGCAGAGAGTGCACCTGCCTCCCGGAAATCGTGCGTGCACCTCGAATTGCATGACCGTCTTTCTCCCCACATGGCCTGCTAATGTGCTTTAAGGTCAACGCTGGACTTCTGCACTTCTTGCTATTTATGCGGCCGGACTGTTGATTGCTTCACGTAAGCCATATCACTCTGGACTATACCAGACTGTCTTAAACCCATTTTGCTAATTCTGCACCAGCTGTATTTGGTTTGATAGCCGATCAGACCAACTCTCGTCGTGTTCCCCTTCTCTTCGGGCTGATCGCTTTTGCAGCCGCTACCGCTCTTCTCTGTGTAGGGACGAATCTCGGGTTATGGATCTCTGGGCGTCTATTCCAAGGCATATCAGCTGCCATGGTCTGGACGGTGTCTTTGGCGCTCCTTGTGGACACTGTCAATGAGACCCAAATTGGAAAGGCTATGGGAGTTATTGGAACGGCAATCAGCGTCGGTACAATGCTTGGCCCGCTTCTTGGAGGCGTCCTGTACCAGCATGGCGGTTATTACTCTGTTTTCGGGTTAGCGTTCGGTGTGATAGCCATCGATTTGCTTTTGCGGTTGGCCATGATCGAGAAACGACACGCTGAAAAATGGCTATCCACACCTAGTGCTATGAGCGAGACAGCTCACTCTAGCACTCGGCAGCAGGAATCGCAGGCATTAAGAGATGGTGTCACTCGTGGTCAAGTTGCTGGTGGCTATAGGTCGACAAAGAGCCAAGTTCAGGTCGGTCACTTGCAACCGATCCTGGTCCTAGTTCGTTCTCCAAGAATGGCCATCACACTGTTTGCCTACTTTGTCATGGCGAGCCTTATGACCGCATTTGACAGCGTGTTGCCGCTCTTCGTGAAAGAAACCTTTGGATGGGGCCAGACAGGGGAAGGCTTGATTTTTGTTCCATTATTTCTCCCACACTTTTTGGAGCCTCTGGCGGGTGCGGTTCTCGATCGGTTTCCAGCCTCTGGTAGGTATCTGACCGCCGGATCTCTGCTAGGAATGACTCCTTTTTTGGTCCTCCTTCGGCTCGTGACCCATGACTCCATTGAGCAAAAGATATTGCTTTCTGCTCTGCTTATTCTAATCGGATTAACCTTTGCTGCTGGGCTACCCCCGTTGCTAGTTGAGATATCCTACCTAATCGCTGCGAAGGAGAAAGAGCATCAAGGTATATTCGGGGCGCATGGAGCGGTAGCTCAAGGCTATGGATTGTTCAACTGCGCCTTCGCCGCTGGAAGCCTGGTTGGTCCCATTTGGGCGGGTATGATTCGGGATGAATATGGCTGGGGAACGATGAGTTGGTCACTTGGTGTGCTAAGCAGCTTCGCATCAGTTCCAACTTTACTCTTTCTAGGGGGAAGCATCTATTCAAAATCATAGCAGGGACATCAGGCTTCGCATGTGCGCACAAAATCGTACTAGATTCCCACGTACAAATGAATTGACTTCCCGGCTGGCGGCATCCCAGCGTTAGGGGTAGCAGTCGGCACGAGAGGTAGAGAAGCTGGTACGCTTCTCAAGGGTATCCGGTTTCCTTGCGGGGAACTGCAACACCGAATACCTGGTGACAATGTTGGTATCTAGCTGTGGAAGGGCAGTGAGGCAGGGGACAGTGTGGGACACACTATCGAGGATAGCGCGGGAGCCCAGTCAGGACAATAGATAGGTACATCGAAACGGGGATGTAATTAGACTGACATTTGTTGCTTGAGTAATTGCGAGTGCTTTAGTCAACAAAATCAGCTCTTGCAGGGGTCCAGCCTCCTTTTTGATATTTTCCCAGTATTCACTGGGCGTCGAATCTAAGACTTGTCCAGTGTCTTTTACTAAAGCTTGATAATTTAGAGTCACTCTCCACTTCATTACGTACGGGATGTAAGATGGGTGTTTATCATCTGTGGAACCATTATCAGATCCAATAGCATCACGAAATCATAGTCTACCGCGGGCGTGATTGGAAACCCGATGAACGTTCGCCATAAAAACGACAGATTTACTCGGAAGGCGTACGTTCGCGACCGAACTTGCAGGGAGAAGGATGGTGCAGAGAGGGGTGCGTTTCCAAGTACTGTAGAGTAACCTTCTCTTGAGGTTTGTTTTGCTACCGTGCTCGGTGCGAAATAGGGCCGATGGTTTTTTTCGTTCAGTAATAATGGACACAGTAATAATGGACAGACGAACACTTTGAGATAAATTGCCAAACACGTGACAGTACACACATTCATAAAAATGTATAAAGTCCGCATTTTATTTGTGCAGCCCAGTACGGAGGTGTATTTCTGAACTTATCGAACTACACTAATAAGCTTGGCAGTCAACCCCGATCAACTCTAGAAACTATGCCAAGCGAGACTTAGCTTAGGGTAAGAATCATACTAAGCACCCGTCACAAGTAACGTAAGCTGGCCATTAGCCAGTCCGGTTATATATAACTTATGTATATCACGGGCTTATGTCTATTTGCCTTAATTGCAGAACTGTAGAACTAGACTAAACTATAGCAGCAAAGTCTTACATGATCTAGGACTGCCCAGCGGTTCTCAGAATCATGACCAAATGCCGGTATGGTCCGGTTCTTGGTCTTTGCGGTCATTTCCGAGGCCTAGCTGCTTCACGGGTTCTAGATGCGATATTCTGGAGTCACTAGAAGCATACATGCGAAAGTTTTATTACAACTACTAAAGGCTCTAGCCGGCTTAGTGTTGCTTTGGTCGATGTTCAAAAAAACAGGGAAGGAGCAAAAGTGATGAGGCATCGAGTGATATCCGTAATACTCATATAAGGAATGCGAATATAAGATCGGCTGAAATCATATAAAACCAGAGGACAGGCCGAAGCCGATTTAGTCCGAAGAAATGAGTCAATGGGTATAAACCCTTCCCCAAGAGGTAGTCAATTTGGACCTAAAGTGAATAAGAGCAATGCTCGAAAATTAAGTACAATGGTACTTAACCGCGGTTAAAAACAGTGTCCTTCTCCGATGTCTGTTGTCTTTAGTACCACTGCAATCACTATGAATGTATTTCCAAGTAATCTATCCTAATATGAGTGATGCTCCATACTTGCTAAAGCGGCTCTGTCTCTCAGTTGATTATATACTACTTAATACATATGTCTCAGGTGTGTTGTCCTTATTTCTCTCTATTTTATGAAGAAAATATCAACTTATCGTCTTAATACTCTACCTTATCTATATGGCTTTGGTATCCTAGTCGACTGGCTCACTTGGAGTTTCTCTGTTAGCCCTACCATAGATGTATGAGACAGAAGGTAAAGGCTATGCGTTCATTCTAAGAGCGTAGAGAGTGACCTCCGAGAACTATATTGAAATAATAGTTGGGGAACCCATTACTATAATGTGAGGTATCAAGCTAGCCACAGGGAGCTACCGTCATTAACCAATATTGACATTAGTGTGTAAACATCATTAGGTCAGCTACTAAAGCGTAATTATTACCACTGTATCCATATATGTAGGCGTAGGCTGCAGTTTTCTGCCTGGCCAGAGTTGCTGTGTCAGGTGATTCATTACGTCCACTTGTTCTTCTCTCTGCACGTATTCCCCTCTTCTTCTGTTTCTTGTCGTTTCGCCATTTTAAGCCTTCGACCCCAATCTGCCTTTATTCTCGGCCTTCATATCTGTCTACATATCCAGATCTTCAATTTTCTTTTCGACTAACCCTCGATTTGTCTTATACCGTTCCAATGTCCGAGCCGGGAACGCCTTAAGAAGCCAAGCCAGTGATGACGCTGATCTATCGAGTAGTGAGGGCTTGCAATTCTGATAGTTGTCGGAGTCAAGGGAGCTAAACAATGTTAGAATCGGCCGATGCTCGCTCTTCGCACGCATTTACCAATCCGTCCCAGCTAAACGACATCGACACCGCATTAGAAGAATTGATCACGATTATCGCTGGAGCGAGATCTGCAGCTTCTTTTGCCTGCGGTGGTACGATCCCGATCTCCAAGACTGATACTAATGACGGCGCAAATATAGCATCAACTGCCCCGCTGGTGAAGGTTTACTGGTCTCTTCAAGAAGAGATAAATGCTAGAAAGGTTGTTCTTCTGTTGGATCATACGTCGGCAGATTCTAGCCTTGCTGCTCTGAAGCAGCTCGTGTTGGAATGCTCTCCTGCGACCTTTGGGAGGGGCAATGAGGATATTCTGGATCACAGCCATAGACAGACGGGAAGATGGAGCCAGCGAAGTTTGCAACTACCTTCCATCCGGCGGACTTCTGCATCGTAAATCTGGTCGAACGGATTTTGGTACCCAGCGTCAGCGATGATGCAGAATAATTCTTTGGCGGGTCGCGCAATATCTGCTGAGCTCTACAAACCGAATGTACGTCGTCTTGGGGTGGCGCTTGCTATGTATAACCTCTTGGACCAGCTCATGAGGTGAGATAGGTCTACTCCTGCCCCTCTGGACTCTTCCAGAGCCATGTGGATACACAACATTCTGTCAGACAGGTGGGGTCCTTGGTTACCTGCCTCCCAGCCGGTTTCAAAGGGGGCAACCTTCTCGTCCGCCACCAGGGCAAGGATGTTGATTTTGACTGGGCGCCCAAAAGTGCAACTGCTATCCAATGGGCTGCTTTCTACAGCGATTGCTCCCATGAAATCAAAACGGTCACAGAGGGGGAGCGGCTTATCCTCACCTATAACCTTTACGTGACGGAACCAGAACGTGCCTCTACAGTCATCCCAAATTCCTCGGTAGAACTGTGGACTCTTCCAATCTATGGCCAGCTTGATGCACTCTTCCGGAATCCTCAGTTCTTCCCTAATGGTACTTTCGGGCTCCATACTAATCTATTCATGGCTAACTTCCATAGGTGGTGTTTCTGGGATCTACTGTGCTCATGCATATGCATATGCGCATACATCGGAGGAGGCTTGGATAAACCTTCCAAGAACATTTAAAGGCTCCGACTTAGGTTTCTACTCAGTTCTTAATGCGTTAGGCGCGACAGTAGAGATTCTGCCCGTTCTTGGGCATAGGAAAGATAATTATTACTAGGATACCGACCATGAATCCGAAGATAGTGAATTAGTTGGAACGGGGCTCCACGCTCATCAAATGTCATGCTTCAGCACGGAGTCTCACTCTTTAAACGATGCCAGTGCCCCATATTATTGGACTACACTCTCACCGTCCTATCCTTGAGCTCACATAGGTTCCAGATTGTTTGCGATGAATGGCCTCACGACAGAGTGACGGGAATTACGTGGTTAACAGGACAGAAGCACTGGGAGAAGGCACTAAGCTATATTGCGTACGGGAATCAGTCCACGATCTCAACCAGATACTGCTCGGCCGCCATTCTTGCAATGATTCCTGATTGGGAAGAGCGATCCTCAAGCTAATATGAAGCAGCCGGAAAGGGATGGTGGCAGAGAATGGATTTGGAATAGGTAGGAACACGAGCCCAGCTCGTCAACTCACTGAGGACTGTATGAGGAAATAGGAGAAAGGCATAGGTGGTCTACCTTTGCTACTTAGGAAGTTTGCTCTGCTTCAGACAAAGGAATATCATCTAGATCGGTTACTAATTAAAACATCTATTTCTTAATTGGCTACGCCTCCATGGTATAAACGAGCTTTATAATCCATCGCAAGAAGGAACGACGAAATGTATCTATTTTCATAGCAAAGAAAGGGGAGAATAGCACTTTGAGCCGATGGAGTCCCAGATAACCCGAATATATGAGGGGGTCTTTGATCTAGGCATCTAGTAGATAGCATTCTCTGTCCATCGCGCACAGTCGCAACCCTTAGTGGACCAGCCGTTTAATTCAAGGTACATTAAGTATAGAGTGGGCTGTTGAATGCATTCGTATGACACGAATCTCCCCAAGCAATATTCGTTCGCCTCCACTCGCAGAGAAGACACCATCATCGCTATATCGTGTACCGTCCTCATCCCAGTGGGTCTTCCTCAGACCCCAAACTTAAGCTACTCTTTTGTGGTGAATTAAGGAATAGAATGGTGATAAGAACTTGGTTCCTTCCGCAGTCAGAGTAGGAGGGAAATACAAAGGCCAAGTTCATCAACCATATTACAACACATTTACAGTGTCCATGGGCTTCGAAACATTTAAAAGTATAATGACATTATAACAATTCTATTACTGTATGGGGATATAGGTCGAATATTGTTCTATATAGCACCCCCATTGGTATCATTAGTTGCTGTATATTCTCCACCCTGACGACTGTTTTCGTTCCAAAAGCTCAGACTAGCCTGTTGTCGCAGAATGCCATACATGGCACTGCTGTCCAAGCATTCTCCGCCATACTCTCTCGCTGCTTGCATATGTTTGTCGGCTAACTCAAGCCCAGGTAGTTTGAAGTCATGCTCTCCGGCCATTGAAAGTGCATGCTTAGCATCTTTAATAGCCAATGAAATGCCAAATCCCGGCCGTGTATCCAGTGGCGGTGCATATATACCCGATGTCAATCTCATATGAAGTTAGCCCGGGTGAAGACAAAGAGAGGAAATGATGGTGCCTGACTTACCGTTTAGAGTAACCGCCTGCAATAGCTCCAAACGACTCGTTGATCAACTGCTCCATCGCTTCGGTCCCAAGGCCAGTTTTTTCTGCAAAGACTTGAGCTTCACCAACCGCCTCCATCAATGAAAGAGTTATAATATTGCTATTCGATCAGTCTTGGCTCTATAGTAGCCTGAAATCACGAAGTGAATAAACCTACCCGCCAATCTTGAGCAACGATGCATTCGACGCATTTCCCCCACAATGAATAAGCTTCCTTCCCATGACATTGACTATGTACTTCTCCACAGTATGACATGCGGATTCGAGGCCGCTGATTGCAAATACAAGACCCCCAGTCACTGCGACAGACGGACCACCGAAAACGGGAGCAGAAAGAAGGACAGCCTCATGTTTGGATAAGTCTGATGATAATTTCTTAATTGTGTCCGGATGTACTGTCGAGCAGTCGACGAATATTTTCTTTGATAGTTCTGAGCTACCCGCAATGGCAAGCTTCATAAGGCGTTGAAGAACGTCGTCGTTCGGTATCTAGCACCTGTCAGCTCCTGACAAACACCCTCTTGGGGGATAGCAATTCACCATTGTAAAGACGATATCACATCGTCTCACCAAGTCAGTAAATGCAGTAGCAGGTACGGCACCGAGAGACTTTAATGTATCTCCGGAACTCAGTGTCCGATTGGAGTATATCAATGGCCGTTCGTGATTATTCGCTAGATGTCGTTGTAGATTCTCGGCCATCGGACGGCCCATGGACCCGAGCCCGTACTTTGACATGTTAGCCACTGACCACCTTTTGATGGGTTATCATTAATTTCTTACCCATCCGATTTGCGGGCTATTTGATGCCATAATGCAACTGCTGAGGAATGATGCCAAAGTTCAATTATGTGGAAGAGATGTAGACGGACATCACGGCCGGACTATATAACCCCCATTGAATCACAAACCCGTTTTTCTCGGCCGGTTTGCCAAAGTCCGGGCAATGGATTGAGTCATTTCAAGATAAGAACCCTAGCGTACGAGCCAATCCGGTGGCAATTTTGCTGGTTCGAATGAGGGCAATCTACCAAACAGTCGCTCGGATCTCAGCCCCGAAGTTTTCGGAAAGACTCCCGAGCCCCACCACAACTTGTGGACTTGATGAATGGATAACAACCGATCTCAATAAAGTATTAAGTAGGCTGGAAGAGTCTGGCCGGAGCGTGGGGGAGAATTTCCAAACCAGCCTTCAGCACACAGGTATGGCTTTTCCCCAAGAAGATGCATGGCCTGTGTAAAGCAATGACTACGAAGTATAACCAATTTCACCCTGCTAGAGAAGTTTAGTCCCTTCCATGTCTGAATTGAAATGTATGGACATCTGAACCAGTCTGGCAACTAGGCGTAAGAACATCTTTAAGATTAGATTAAACATTTTCAGGACTCGCCCCAACCAGCCGCTATCCGCAAGATGGAAACAGATCATTAGCACACTCGCTGTAGTAATGCCATCTCGACCACCAATCCCGGTCCGACACTGCAAGCAATAACATCCTTCTTCCCTTTCTCCATCGACCGTAGTCTATCAAGAACAGCAAGTACAGCGACACTCGAGGTATTTCCCCGTGTTTTGTAAATCTCATTGCTAGCTCTCACGGCATCGTCAGGCAAGTCCATGGACTTTTGCACGCCTTTGATGATTGCCAGGCCCCCTGGATGAAGTGCCCAGTCAAAGGATGAAGGAGATAATGATCCCATTCCGTTAGCATTTGTTAAGCTCTGGAAAGGCTCCCGAACTGCGGCTGCCGTAAGCGCAGGCACATTCTTGGAAAGTGTCAGGAGAAACCCATGCGGCGACACTCTGTAGGACATGTCATCAAACGCTTCCGGCATTATTTCTGAATGGCGATCGAGAATAGTGAAAAGGCGTGGAGCATTCTTAGCCATCCCATGAGAGTTACATAGAACTAAAGCTGACGCGCCATCCCCGAACAAAACTGGTCCAATACTGCCATTTTGGGAGGTAGCAGCTTCATGCAGCTCGCATCGGACTTGGATGCTGCAGATTTCACACGCGATAACTAGCACTCTGGCTTCCTTTCCTTGAAGCGATGCGGCCATGGCCAAATCCGACGCTGCTCGAAGAGCCGCAAGCCCCCCTGAGCATCCGGCTCCAGCAAGCAATATCCTCTCAGCCGTTGGAGCGACACCAAGTCTCCGAGCAACCAATTGGTCATACCCTGGACTACCAGCATTTGTAGCTGTAACTGCTACTACGTGGGTGATTGCACTCGGAGATATATTACTATCGCTCAACGCCTTGCGAGCAGCTTGCTCCGCTAGCTCGGTTCCGTACTGGCGAAAGGCTGCATCAAGTTCATCAGCCCCCGGTGGTTCATTCCGATTCCAGCGGGGGTCACTCCAAAAGTCCAGCATTGCTCTGGATTGAATGCCAGTCTTTTCATTGACCTTCAGTAATGCTTTCAGCCTAACCTTCCTTAGTTGAAAATCTAGTGACTTGAAATTTCCAGAGGGCTTTACTCACCATGGAGCGTCTTCAGGATAGTGTTTCAGGGCTAAATCTCTGAATTCACCTGGCCCTACAAGTTTTGATGGCCATGCGGTTCCCATGCCAGTAATTGTCAAGTCATCCTTTCTTTGTCCTGGGACCGTGGGATAACCCTTGCTGGGGAGAGAACCAAAAGCGCCCATTTTGATACCCTGCAAAGACGGCTCTCGCACGTATAGGTTTCCTAGAATTTGTGCAATTAAAAAAGTTGTCTGTACCTTTTGCTACTTCCGCAAAAAACGAGGAAAAGTTCGAGGATAGATGCTTCTTTTCTGTTTTCTAGCTATGTCTGCGTATGATAAAAAGGTTATCGATGACCGCGGAATAGGAAGGATCCGAACTTGGTACGAGTTGGTCTAGTACGTGAACGTTACATTCCGGCCGGAACCCCATCCATGATGCCAACAAGACACAACACAACATATATCCAGAAGGGGTATGTGTCACGTCATAAATAGACTTTTTCTCTATGAATGAACTACGTATTGTATTTCTAGAGGCACCGCTTGCGGATAATGTTTCATTAGTGTGGACGCCAGACATCTAGAATAAAGAAACCGTCTGAAGTCAGATCGGCAATCATGCCTGGATCCAATGGGCAACATGAGCTATGCCAGGTTTCATTCTCGTGACTAGTGTAGCTCATGAAAATCTACAGGTAATTTTTCATCCATGGATTATCGGACTATCGTCTTTAAACATGACACAGGAGGAAATGCAGCCTCTTGATCTTTAAAGCAAAATCAGCATTCCACTCCACCAATAGAACGCTGTCTCTCTTAGCACCAATGCCTTTTGCCAGATACAATTTCATACTGCCATAATGAACATTACTCCTGGAACATCTAATGCCCTTCCAACGGTACAAGTCTCTCCCTCTCACCACGACGAACCAGCAGTAATGAGGTCACCAACACACCCAGAGTTTTCACTCGGCAAACGAGGCGTCCTAATATTCCTCACTCTGTCTATCCTCACAATGATGGTTGCGCTGGACGGCACGTCTATTTCCGTCGCATTGCCTGTATGCAACCAATACACTTTGTTCTCGATACAAATCTCCTAACCGAGTCTTAGATCATTTCGCGGGATCTGCATGGCACGGCCATTGAGGCCTTCTGGGCAGGAACATCTTTTCTTCTGTGCTCTACGGGTAATAAACACATGCACTATTGGCAATGGGAGATATATATCTGACGATCACATGATTCTTGTTTAGTATTTCAGCCGACATTCGCGTCATTCTCCAATATCTTTGGTCGGCGCCTCATGGTACTGGCAGCCATCATGTTTTTCTTTGCCGGGACTGTTGTGGCGAGCGTCGCCCACGACTTCCGGGAACTGCTTGTTGGGCGCTCTGTACAAGGTGCTGGAGGTGGGGGGATAATTGCCCTCACCGAGGTGATTGTCACTGACATCGTACCGTTGAGGCTGAGGGGGCAATACTTTGGAATCCTGAGTGCGATGTGGAGTGTGGGCTCAGTAACAGGGCCAATTCTAGGCGGTGGTTTCTCTCAAAATGTAAACTGGGTAAGGATACCTACATCATGCTGGATACCCTTGGCTCCCTCATTTTTCTAACTGAGTCTTCGACGACCAAGCGCTGGGTTTTTTATATCAACTTTCCCTTCATCGGAGTGGCGATGGTGCTGGTTTTCCTCTTTCTTCGACTTCAGCGTGTCCAGACTTCCCTCACAACAAAGCTGCGTCAAATTGATTACGTCGGAACCGTCCTGTTTACTGGCAGTGTATCATCCTTCTTAATTCCATTAACATGGGGTGGTGTCGTCTATCCCTGGGGATCCTGGCATACCTTAACCCCCCTATTCATTGGTCTCGTTGGGCTTTTGGCCTTCGCGGCTTTCGAATACTATATCGCGAAGGACCCCATTATCCCCCCGACCATCTTCAACAACCGTACCGCATCTATTACATTCATTGGAACCATCCTGCAAGGTCTCGTGCTGTGGTGTGCGCTTTACTATCTTCCTCTCTATTATGAAACCGTGAAAGAATTTAACCCTATCCTTGCTGGAATAGCTCTCTTCCCTGAAACCTTCACGGTAGCGCCATGTGCAATCCTTACTGGGGCATTTATTTCTGTCACCGGTCGCTACCGTGGTGCAATATATTTGGGCTGGATACTATCAACCCTTGGGACGGGATTGCTGTGCTTTATGAAGGTTCACACCAGTACTACCGCCTGGATATTCTTAAACATCGTTCCAGGAGTGGGGTTGGGAGTTTTGTTTCCGGCATTGGCATTTGCCGTGCAAGCATCAGCCTCTAATGAGAGCTTGGCTATTGCCGTTGCTATGTTCAGCTTCTTTCGCGCTCTGGGACAAACAATTGGTGTTGCAGTTGGAGGAGTTGTGTTCCAAAACTACATGTACACCAATCTCCACAAATACCCTACTCTTGCTCCCATGGCCAGAGAGTATAGTAAAGATGCAACTGGGCTGGTGCAGATTGTCAAAGCCATGCCAAATATGGAAGACAAAGCACACCTGCAAGAAGCATATACTGATAGTCTGCGAGTGGTCTGGGCAGTGTGCTGTATCGTGTGTGGGGTTGCGCTGGTGTTGAGCTTCGGCACTCAAAGGTATAGTTTGGATCGTGCTCTTGAGAGTGACCAGGGACTGGCCACTTGTAACATGATAAATGCCCATGAAGGGAAGGGGAGCTCAGGTAGTGCTAGTTAGGAATTGTATCACCTGGCGATTGTTTCATTCTGCTGCTGTTAACTTCTCATGAATATCTAATGGGTTATTGTTACATGATGATACAATTTGTGAGAGTCTACAACGCACTGAAACTATCTTGTGATGTCTCCAACATGCACTAAATTACTGCATGCACCAATTTTGTATGGAATCCTGGGATGATGAAATCCGAAGTGACTCACTTCAGATTATCCCAAGTGACATATCTCGCCGAGATACCTTGTTGAATGACAACTTAATTAAACTTGTCTGTGTTCAAAGTATACGTCTAGGTGGCGCTTATTAGTCTTTCGAATTATTGCACTAGGTGAATATGACCTAGCCCTCTACCATTTGTTCTATAATGACGTGAAGGAAGAAGCAAATCGAAGGCAAGTACGATTAACCGCTATATTAAGGCTCTCTCTCTCACCAGAAAGTTTCCATATATGCTTGGCAGAGCTAATGACTTTTGAACAGTTCAGAACTTAGATATCATAGTACAAATTCGAGTCCGGAACCCGACCCATCACAGAGCGCCCTGATAGCTGTTGAAATGCCAAACCACAGAAGGATCGCGAAGGGTAATGCAGTATGTGGTCCTTTCCATCAAGAACGGCCTAAAATCTTGATGCTTCATATGTTGAGCAGACGGTCAGATCTTAAGAGACTCTGGTCGGCTGAAGATTGGAATTTCTGCTCATGAGGAAGTCCTTCGGCGGCTAAATACTGCGAAGAGGTATGCGGGGTGTGGGGTACATGGGCGATATCCGATCATACTGGGGATTTCCCAAGGCCGACTGTTTCTTGGCCGAGGATGGCGTACCCTTACGCCTATGCGCATCAAGGGTTCCCAGAACATTTCAAGTGTTATAATAGGTGTGTGCAGAACACCCGAGGTCGCTGACCAGCCCGCCATGATCAACAGGTCAACCGAATTTCAAATCTAACTGCCCATAGGTCTCCATGGTACTGAAATCGCTATTGATCCTGATACGATTATCACAGCCGGAGGACCTCGAATCCCTTAGTGCTTGCATATCTTTTACAGTATTTCATTAACCGGGTAGAAGTGGGGGAGATATTATTCGACACCGGTATCAATTTGTCTCGCTTGATACTATTCGGGCAGGGCCAACTGCGGGCATATTTTGGTTTTCGTTTGTGACATTCAATGCAGCTTCTAACAGCCCGATGCCATTACAGGTGCTCAAAGGGGTGAAAAACATATTCCTGGGCAATCTCGTCCGCAATAATACCTGCTCATATAAGATCATTGTTGTTGAAGCTGGCGTGAAAGCGTAGCAGCCTTAAGGCAGCCATTCAGGAAACCAGTTGTTCCACTCGGCTGACTCACCCGCGTTCATAAGATTATGCACATATTATGCACATAAGAAACATCAACGCGAGGTTTAAAACAGGAGCAGCAAAACCAAAAACGACAGGAAAGGGCGTTTCATGGGACGCTCGGTGATCCAGGAAGCTTCTTTTGAAGTCGGTGTTGTCATTTACGTAGTATTGTTTTATGCGCGCGAATAATATATAACACCTGTGACTAGCCCTGGCCTCTCGGAGAAAAACGCGCCCGCGAAAAGAACGTCTGAGACGATGAGACCGCCTAGAATAAGAGACCTTTAACATACAAACTCAGTGCCTTCTTACTCAACCAGATTCCAGGCCGCTTGTAATTGCGCGACTCTCGCCGTGTCGGCGTTGATCCCCTGCGCATATCCTTGAGCCCTCTGCCCCAGCTGCGCTCCCTCGACACCCCAAGGTGTTTCGAATCTGTGCGGGATTCCGGCAGCCCCATAACTAATGTAGGGATTATACATGGAAGCCGTTATTCCGTTCATGTTGTAATAGAAGGACGAAGACACGTTGTACATCTTTTGCATATCGAGGTTGAACTGCGCCATCGAGACAAGATTCCGCATTTCAGGGACCGTTTGCTCATAGATGGTCCTGCGATATGCGGCAAATGCCATAAACGAGGCCAGATCCCGTTTGTCACACGCCTCGGCCCACTTGCGGCGCATTCGTGGCGAGTATAAGTCACAGTGACTCTCACCCGGGATGATTTCGGGTGTGGGAGGGAGCTGTCGAGCGAGCTCGCTGCCACGCACGACCTCCTCGTAGCACGCGAGACAGATGTGGCAGTCCGCTGTACCATACCATTTCTGATTTGTCACTAATTCAATTCCCGGGCACGGAGAAAGGTTACATAACCTGATCGTGAAATCTACAAACCTGGAAAATGTGCAAGTGATCAGTGCCTCGTCTAGTCTCTGCGCATAACTTAAAAATCGGAAGCTGCTGGGATTCAAATCACAGGAACTCTCGACTGTCCTAGGATGCTGAACTCGCTTGAAAAACACGTCTATTCCGTGTGGCTTCAGGAAACCTATGTAGCAGCTCTGGCAGACGTCGAAGTTGTCAATGCCTTGATTGAGTTGATACATCTGCGCACCGGGCTTTGCCTGCGAGCTACAAGGCGGAGCTTGCACATATTCCATGATTGTGCGTCGCCATAGCGAAAAGTCTTTCCGCTCAAGCGCCTCATCCCAAAGGACCCGCGCCTGCCAGAACCCAAGAATGCATTGCTGCTCCCTTGGCGACTGTCTCAAGGGTTGGAAGTGGGATTCAAATTCGGTCCTACTCGCAAAGTCGCGGTAACAGCGCTCACAGACAGTAATTCCCAGGGCTCGATCGCGAAGCTCATACCACTGCCGCGAGGAGCCGCCCATTACCGCCCCGTTTTTCTCGCATTCTGGAAGGCCCAGATGATGTGCAACTTCAGTAGAAAACTGCGGCCATGATTGCGTGTTGGTGAGTAATCTTCGAATGAAGTCTATAGCAATATCGCATGCCCATATTTGTCCCTGTGGTTGCTTCTCTCGATGCTCTTCGAATTGAGAACATAAAGCCGTACCCGTAATTACATCCTCATAGCAAGCCTGGCAAGCGATGAAAGATGGAAGTCTGCTGGTGTCTTTAGGGCTATACCACTTCACGTTTTCTGATCCCCCGACGCCTTTTGTCCCATCGCAGTTCCTTATCGTGGCGCGATGACGAAAGAACCACAACAGCTCCTGGACACTGCCTGATTGCAAGGCTCGGGGCCACAAATGGTGTTCAATACGAGGTGAGCTGAAGAGGCAATGTATGCTAGCACCGGCGGGGGAGACCCAAGGGTGGAAGCTTGCTTGCAACGATGAACCCTGAATGTTCGTCTCGTAGCAATACGCGCAAATGCGGAATTCTGGGGCTTCAGGTAGTATATACCATGTGCCAGAGCACATCAAGCTATAATTCGTTGACGGACACTTCTTCAAAGTAAATTTTGCGGGCGGATTATATTGCATGCTTGGTCGTAATACACCGGCGTCAGAGCGTGTCTGGTCCTTGTACTCGTGATCAGTACAGGAGCTGCGCACGGTATTAAAGTCAGTCCGAGCCGCTGGGATGTCCTCCTGGTGACATTGTGTCGCCGGCGGGCTTCGTTGTTGGGAAGAAGGGCGGCGCGAGAACTGCGGCGTTGGCGCCGAAGCCTGGTGGTTATTGTGCTCGGCCGGAGACGACGTATCATGGTAGTCATTTCCGGAGAAAGGCGCGTGCGACGGAGGTGGCGGAAACCACGGACGAGACACTGAAGGCGTGGAACTAGCTTGTGGAGTACCGTGGAGGGGCGTTGACTGTGTCCGAGGCCAAGGCTGCGATCGTTGTGCCGCATGATACGGAGCTGGGTAATGGACCGCCTGTTGTGGGGTGGCCTCTCTCTGATATGGAGGTGGCGGAGGGTACGGAGCCTCGAGACGTGGAGCGATGTTTTGCGCGTTATCTTGCGGTATCCGAGGAGGTAATGGTGGAGGACGATTTATATTGTCTTCTGGGCGAGGTGGGCGCGGCGGTATTGGCGGGGGTGCGTTTAGGGCGTATTTTCTGGGCCGATATGGGAACTCCATACTAACAGTGCGCGTACTTCTCCCACGCGACGATTGAGTTGAACGCGGAAGTCAGGCAATAAGCGACGTGAGAGAGGCAGAGAGGCAGTATATATGAGTGGTCAATGAAAGGAAGGGGAAGATAGGCATCCGAGCTGAGGGTTAATGTCAACACAAATCTCACGATCAGCCTCAATTCCGAAGCGGGTCTCATCGGGGAATCATGCTCGATCTGGGGATAGTCTAGGCGGGAGGCTGCAGAAATCCCTGGGTTAATACGAGAACGCTATCCTCTTGATTGACCAGGTTTCTGCTTCGCCCCGTTCCGTCCGTTTCTCATCCGGGGTTCGCTTCTGTTCACGACTCCATACGCCAACCAAGATTGGCTTCGGCATGACCTTGCTTCCTGATCGTCTCTTTGCTTTTGCATCGCTTTCATGGACCCAGTATATTTTTCATTCTCCAGAACAAGCTGCACCCCTTCCCGAGGCTCTCACCTGGATCGAGACTGCGTGTGGTGGTAGATTTGGCCCTGATACCCAAGGAATCCCCATGTCTAGTGCCCGCATCCTCCCTGGTATAGTGCGTCTTGCGCCTCTTGCCAGGTAAACATGAGAAAGCCGGCTCCATAGTCATACGGTCCGTGCCCTTCAATTGATCCCAAAGTCCTAAACGTCAGCCAAACACCATGATTTCTCATGAGTGCTGGCAAGTGTATGTTAAACTGCAGGAGGAAGGATAGATTGCAAGAGGCTTTGTGCCGGTTGTTCATCGGCGGGTTGCATCACGGTTTATGGCTCGCGGTTCATCAGCCCTCGATAAGAAAATGCCGTACCTACAGCTCTTCCGCCACGTATTAATGATTGAGTTGCAAAAGGTCACGGGATATCTTGTAGCATACCTGTTTGTAAAGGCCTTTCTTTTCCATGGTAAAAGGTTTTCATGATCAGAGTCTTGCGGTACAGTTGCGTGAAACAACACACCTAGTCCCGGGATCCAAGTCGGAGCCAGGAAATGAAATGGACAGCAGTCGAGTGATATTGATCGAAGCTTTCAAAGTCCCCGGTCCTTTTTTTTTGGCTTCGATCAGCGCTCTCGACCCACAAGTATCTGCCCCTTGATATTCTCAATGTGAGTGAGTTTCCATACGGCCGGTCCGGCGGAATGGGAACGATATTTACACCATCGGGGCAAATATGCACAAGGGCCGCCTCAGAGTCGTGTTGCAGAAGAGGCATTGCAAAACAAATTCGCCATTCATGTTTAGGTCTTGTTCCTGTTCTCGACAGTTGAGCGAGAGTGGAGGCAGATTCCGCGAGATTTATTATTATAAAGCATAGGCTTCATGGAATCGTTGTAAAGGGAGACTTGGGTCGAACAAAATGCTTGGCTTTGCTGCCATAATGCTAAGAAACAAATGACGGGTGAAAGAATTAAATGACATGGAAACGTTTATGCTGGTGAGTACTTCCGTGTGTTGGTCGTTTGATCTCCACGATCTCCACCCAGGCTGATGGAATGTAACGATAGGTTAACTAGTCCTTCCCAGGTCAGTTAGTACGATGCCAGAATCATTGGAGGGCCACTACAAAGCCGCTGATTGGTCAGATACTATTTCCATTGCTGGATGGAATCGACCCTTCGTGGTCGGATAGGATCATGAGTACCGTCTAGGGGACACGTAGCGCAGCTACTATGGGTTTCCCCCAAGCCGTTTCAGATGAGAAAGGACATGCTTATTGTGTATCACACATATACCGAGAAATCTGCAGACCCCGAAGACCGAATCGACGGCGATGTTGGCCCTTGCATGGGTTCATTCTACGTTACCGGCTAGATGTGATCCACACACTAAATGGGTCCCTCACAGCCTTCTGCCACTTCTCAGCCGATATACGATGGATGGGCAACACGAGGAGTAGGGCTCAGATCCCAAGATGAAAAGCCTATTCCGTTGAACCCCGGCTTGAATCTATTCACCCGGGGGTTTCGAGTGAAGTTTATCTGCATCAGGGCCACGCACGAAGAACTCTTCGTCTACGACAATGAACCACCAAGGACGTCAGAGGAAAGGCCCAGATCGAAGGGAACCAGGTAGAAACGACGCGGGGACCCAGTTCGAGTTTGTATTGGAGAAAGACCAGCCTGGCATTCGCAGTCATGCCATGCGACAATTTTGGAGGCAGAAACAAGCCATCGCAAAGGAAGACCCAAGCGACGTGACTTCCACCAGCCGCCCTCTTTATCCCCGCACGTTGATGCCCAACGATGGCATCCAAACCTACAGCCAGTTTGAGGGGCTGGAGGAATTCCGCCAACAGATGTCAGCTCTCCAACCGGAGGATCACAGAGCAGGATCAGCGAATTCGAGTAAAGATAATGCGGAGACTTCGGGTATCCCAGCCCAAATCTTATCTGGAATCCATCATGCTCTAGAATTTGTTAATGGTGACCCTTTTCCTACTTTTCCGGTGACATTGACGGCGCAACACCGCAAGTTGTTGTACCACTGTAAGTATATCGGAGGGAGGGAAGAAGTAACCACGGTCGGCGTCAAGGATTCATGGCTGTAACTGACAATGGATAGGGCTGAGTACGCATACTAGTGGGACATCGACCGCCTCTCCCTTCGATCCCATCAGAGAGGTTTGGCTACCATTGGACTTGTCAAACAGCGCCTCGTTCAACGCAACCATGGCACACTCCGCAGCCCATCTGGCTTACCTTCACGGTGAGCTCGCCTCACCCGAAGCTCTCCGATACAAAACCGAAGCCATCAGCGTCATCACAAAATGGCTAGATGATCCGGAGCAAGCGCTTAGAAACGAAACCCTCGTTTCCGTAGTACGGCTTTTGATGTTCGAGGTACGTGCCCTGGCCTAGTATGGCGACCATTACATCTTATATGATTCAAGGCGTAAGGGATCATTTGCTTTGTGATTCTGTTGACCGTTCCCGCCATGTGCAGAAATACTGGGGAATAGATGGCCAGTGGGAAGTCCATCGAGACGGACTACAACGGCTGATCAACGCAAAAGGTGGCCTTTCTGCATTGCGAGGGGACTGGCGCGTAGAACTCGTTGTGTTTTTGTGAGTTTTCCCCGTCCGTCTTCCACCATCATACCCCTTGGGAAAGGACTTCTTGGAAACTGACGCACGCCCAATGGAATTGTCCACTAGTGCCTTGTTCATTGCAGGATCATCACACTGTGAGCCATCCACGCATGTATGGGAGCTGTCAGAGCACTTCACACCGACGGCCCTTCACCCAACGCTGCAATTAACGGTTGACCGGCACCGATCAAAGGTGGTAGAGAGCCTCCAGATATATCCAGCTGTATATGAGGCGGCCATCCTGCTTTACAACTCTTTTCACCAGACTCCTGAGCCTGAGCTACTCACGGAACCTTCGGACATGTTTACGCATCGGTTGAAGTGCTTGGTGTTCCTGAGTGTCATTTTCCAGGAATCAATTTACTCCTCCATATCAGCGCTCGGCGGGGGTGTCAGCATAGACCATTCTTTCACCAACCAGTTAGCCGCGTTGGATGAGTCGCTAGCAAAGTATCAGCATCAATGGGGAGGCGAGGTTGATATGCTCTATGCGGTTCTCTTCGGTGACTTTTGTGATCTGAATCACCGGCATGAAACCCCGGAGATTGACTTTGTTATACGGCTCTCAGACGGCCTAGCCCAGCTCAGTCAGCACGCCCGCAAAGCTATTGGGCAATGTCTCCTGAACATGCTCTTGGAAGAGAAATGAGTCGTGATACTACTAACACAGCAACGCCACTGGATCGTATCATACGTCAGCGACTCTTCTATCCTCCTGATGGCAAGTGTGTATAGGATTTTAGAGTTATTGCATATTACCCAGAGTGAGCAGCTTTACCGCCACCTTGCTGTCTATCATATAGGAAAGCTGTAGACGTGGATGCCAACATGACAGTCTTGGCAATCCCTTCACCAATCCGGGATAGTTCGTTTTTAAGGGTTTTTCCCGCCACGGGATTTCCGTGGGTTCAACCCTCTTTTTGACCGAATCCGGTAGTACTAATCAACCACTCAATATCAGTCTGTTGCAATGGACTCAGGTCCCAAAGACAAGAAAGGAATGATCAACAGCAAGTCAAGTTCTTCTCGTGTCGTTTAGTTGGGAAGCATAACTCTCCTGATCTTCTATCTTCTTCTTGTTTGATACCCTTGCCCTCGACTCTCCCCACGCGCACTAATTGCCACCTCCCTTTTAACGTGTCCGCGTTGTTTAAGCCACAAGAGGCATCCGCCATATAAGTGGGGATTGGAGGGCAACGGAGAAACGGAAATGGTACAGGCGAGTCGACGCAAGCCAGAAGAGTATCCCGTACAAAGCCTTTCCACATGTCCGAGATTCGAAGATTTCCTACGAAAAACGTCAAGCACTGCATGGACAGCGTGCATACCTGCAGAGAGATATACCCCGAATGACGAGATCAACTTCTGACGGTCGACAGTCTAGCACCATGACGAGAATGACCTTCCATTTCCGGCAAGAGAAAATCCCTGAACCTCACCTTCCTGGCAAGGAAATGTGATATGCACGGCCGCCAAGTTATATTGCGGAATATCCTATGTTGATAAGGGGTACTATGGGCCTATCTTAGAAAACAGATTTTCTCTTTTCCATAATCTGCGTGTTCGTGGCAGCTTCAAAAACAGTTTATTGTATCCAGTCAGTATATCAGCCTAGGCAGGAATACGATTTGCTGCTGCTATGAAGAGCATCATTGGAAAGCCAACGGGGAAGCGCAAACCTGGAATGACGGCAAGCCCCGACCAGGCGTTCCAATATAACGTTATACAAGAATTTGCATCTCCATCTTTCTCGATCTCGACGTCTGCGGCCGAACTAGAAGGACCGGCCCACGAAAGCATGCTTGCAGCGAAGCGTTCACAGTTGTCGCGCGTAACGATACTCACCATGCTTTCATGTTCCCTTTTCTTGCTGGTGGTAAAATTCTTTATTGGTAAGTTGTTCATGCCTCCACTTGTTCAGTGTTTCCTTAGGTCGTCGCTGAGCCCTGGTGTCAATTAGCAGTGCCGCCCTTTCAAAGTATTAACGGTGCCACTATTGCTTTCCAAGACACGAGTTGACAAGCCGTTATTCTGCGCCCCAATACAACGTCTCAGTTTCGATTATCTCTTTCTGCCATACACTGACTATCGAATCTATTACAGCCAGTCCTCAGCAGCCCGACCGCCGTGAGATGCTGTTGTTATAATGGAGCTCCCACTTGATCGCACAGGTTTTAACTTACTCCCTCTCTCGACCGTGGTCTAAGTCGCTAAGTCCTGACGCGACTCAGGATTAGTTTAGCAATGTCACTTTGCACGGGCAGGATATATTGCACTCACTTATATTTATGGGCTTTACATTATGAGAAAGGTTCTTGGTAGCTGGATGCTATCTTCTTTATTTCCGGGTCAAGTCTTTTGTGGTATAACACTTCCTTTAAATGGTGAAGTGATTAAAACAGCTCCTGATGTATCAATGTTGCTTATGCGTGTCTTTATAAGCAGAACGTGCAACTATCGAGCTTTAGTTGGCCTATTCGGCCTCATTGCTCTTGGCTCGTTTATACTCTCAGTCCACCACCACTATTACCTAGTGTCTTCTACGGCATTCTGCTAAGGTGAATCAATGCGGAGATCCTGTGAGATAATGAGAACATCATCTGGAACGAATGGATGTCACCATGCGTACGGTGGAGGTTGTATTTAGAAAAGACTGACACGGTCTAGAAACACATTTATAATTCAGTAATCCAAGGACTATTGCCAAAACTACTATACACTTCAAAAGTTCATCCCAGTAGATCGGAGAGGGCGTAATGTTATTTGATGTCAGCGTTGCATTATTTAATCTAAGTCTTTCGTCGGAACTAAGCGGCAACGTGTTCCCCATTGACTAGAAGACCTGTAACTTCCGGAGTCTTACTTCTCAATGCCACTGCTGCTCCCCAACTCCTGGCGCTGTCGGTAAGTCCACAGTCCATGTCCTCATTTCCCGGATGATATACGTCTCGCTTGAATGGCTTTGCGACTCCCACTCCGCGGATGCCCGCGACGTGGATATGTCTGTCTTTGTCCCATAAGTAGGGGAAAGGACAAATTTGTCTCCAGATTCATAAAGTGTCCCTTTTGTTATACAAGAGACGTGTGGTGGTCGTGACCGGCCGATATAGGCGGTATTTGTCCATCCATTGTTTTGAAGACAGAATGCGTTAGAACGAAGTCGAACCATGAAAGGCTTCAGCTGGCCCCAGCAGGCTGTGATGATGCTGAGAGACTGGGTCATCTCCATGCAAATTGTGCTGGAAGATGCGTCAATAAAGGGATCAGTGTAAGGGGCATTTGCTCTGGTAAAGATTATTTCGGCGGTAATCGACGCAACAACACTGAAAATTTCAATAATGAAATATTGCCTGAAGGACGGTAAACCTACAGTAGTCGTGGAAGAAAGATACTGGCAAAAAGAAATTTTATCTTCCAAGTAGTTTGGACATGGACGATCAACACCATGGCTTGGGCAAATATCAGGATGTCCGTTATCCCATTTGTGACGGCAACGAACACACACCAGGCAGTCTATAGCCGATTAATACAGGTCTTGGTATCAGGAGGCAATTGTAGTCTCACGCGATTGATACATCGCCCCTCAAGATAGTCCCAGGTTCTTGGAAAATGACACTGGAAGGCTGTCCCAAATAGGGCAGTCACTGAAGTTACTAACACCAGCCCCTGGGCGACACGGGCGAGGATACGGTCTCGAGATGCCGGCGTAATGTTACAGATAAAGACTGTCATGGCCAACTTAGAGCATAAAAAGCTCAGGGTGAACAACAGTGCCCCGGCGAGCTGCGACTGTGATGGGTAAGTACTAGAAGATAAATGGACTAAAGTCACATGAACAAAGTAGCTGACTTTCATTACAATATCCTGCATTGTTGTCCTGATTGTGTCGGTGTGATCACCGAAGCCATGGGTAGTTGCCATAAAAATGGCAATGTTATTCCCAACACCAAATAGCTACATTGTCAGGACTTCGAGTGAGTTGTGGTCTAAGTATGGCACAGTAACAAACGATATAACGATGAGGGCATCATCGGTTGTCAGCCCTCCAACCAAGAGATATTTGGTCATGAGTCGAGATATGACTGCTAGAGCGGTAACACTCATAAGAAACCATGTTATGACTGCAATCGCAGAATGCCAGCTAGCTGGCTCGAATTGTGCCATGGGCCGATCGCTCTGGGATGATATCAATTAAGGTATATGCCTAGGAACAATAGTAGCTCAGCACTTCGTCAATAAGACATTTGAAGCGGGGGCATTCCATGGGTCTTTGGGGGTGACTGAGTGTGTAACTATATAAGTTTAATACTCCAGGAGAACGGCATTAAGTGTCACGATGCCAAGAGCCTCTTTTGAAAAGCTAACAAAGAAGTAACCAATGACCCCACCGCCAGGTAACCCTGGTGCCGTCTTCACTCAGACTAGGTGGTAGTAAAGCGTCGCGCTATCTGCACTGAACTATTGATTAGGTATTTTACCGCTTCAATCAACCGAGGATCACTGGGCCTGGGTCACAGCATCGTCTTGAAACCGTACATTAGCTAGTACTTGACGATATTGAAGAAATATTTGGAGCCTATGATCAGTATCCCGCTGCAGTTCATGATTGAGAGCCTTTCTTGGACTATCCCGAAAGATGTCTGGGGAGTCTTGTGTCCTCGACCAGGAGCCCAAGGAAGTTTGTTCAAGTAGTAACAAAGGTATCAACAAAACACAGATAGATATCTGAAACGAGAAGGTAGAATTAGGGTAGCACAAGCAGGAGCCTGGCCAGGGCTACCAAGGACTACGTTTATATGATGCTTACACGCTGCAGTAATAAATGTCGCGGGTATTATAATCCGCTTGAGCGCCTATAACCCGGTCTCGATGCGAATGTGTCTCTTCCCCCGCCTGCTCCGATCTTCTCTCTTGAGTCAGTTGATGCAATATCTCTCCCCTTTGCAGTTTTGCATAATCCCAAGAGCAGCGCACACTCAATATGCCTTTGTACGAGATGAAGAACCGGGTAGATGTCGGTCACAATCCGAGTCAAGATCGTGATGAGCTGGATCTCGCGCGAGTTGGAAAGAAGGCTGTTCTCACGGTAGTTCTTCCTCGAGATTTGGCAGACGCTTGTTGTATACTAAGCAATCCCCCAGCGCAACTTCAGTATTCTGTCGATTCTCGCCTTCAGCTGCACCATTATCGCGACGTGGGAAGGATTGCTGGAGCAAGTCATGCCCATCTCCTGTATATGTAACCGATGCTAACATGTAATCAGCACCTTTCTGCTTCCTATGGCGAAGTTAGCCTCGACCTACTATACCTACATGACCAAGCTGACCAAACCTAGCGGAGGACCCGCAGGTGCCGTGTACGGATATATCTTTGCATGGATAGGGACTGGGTCATGTTTTGTGGTCCTCGCCGAGCTATCTTCCATGTAAGGTCCTTGTCCTCTGTTCAAGAGATTCTCTCCATGACATCTGGCACGCAGGGCGCCCACATCCGGGGGACAATATCACTGGTGCGCAATGCTTGCACCCCCCAGCTGCATGAAATTTTATAGCTACATCACGGGTGTGTATGCCCCTTTCCGCTTATTGATCAAAGTCGAGATTGACGTCCTTAGGCTGGATAACTGTTTTCGCTTGGCAATCCGCCTTTGCGTCGATCGCCCTATTGAGTGGCACCGAAATCCAGGGGGCTGCTATCTTGACCTTCAAGAACTACCAGAGCCAACTCTACCATGGGACGCTGATCCTATGGGCCTGCGTGCTAATCGCCCTAGCGGTTAATGCGATCGGTGGTAAACTACTGCCACGTTTGGAAAATCTGGTTTTTGTTTTGCACCTTGTTGGGTTTTTGGCCATTCTCATCACACTTACCTACATGGCAGATCACAAAAGCGCCAAGGAGGTGTTCACGACATGGACAAATCAGGGTGGCTGGTCCTCTAACGGCATCGTGTTCTTCATCGGGATGCAAGGTAGCGTGTTTGCTTTCTCTGGTGGTGATGCTGCCGTCCATGTAAGTATCGCTCAGTTGTGGAACCAAAGCACGCACGAGCCGGTTTCTAACCTGAATATTAGATGGCCGAGGAAGTTCAGCACGCCTCGGTAGTTATCCCTCGGGCATTGATTCTTACTGTTTTAATCAACGGTATGCTTGGATTTGGCATGCTGATTGGGGTCTTGTTTTGTATGGGCGATCTTGAGGCAGCGACCAACACCTCCACGGGGTATCCTTATATGGAAATCTTTCTGCAGGGGACCAATTCATTAGGGGGTACTATCACCATGATATGCATCTCGCTTGTGATTGGTATTTGTTCTGCAATCGGTATGATAGCTGCGACCTCTCGCCAGTTGTGGTCCTTTGCGCGTGATCGAGGGATGCCTGGATGGAGGTTATGGAGTAAGGCATGTCTTCCGTTGGCCTCTTCTCCCTGGCCCCCCTCTCTCCCTTCTCTTTCTTCGGATTCTGTTTTGTGTGAAGTTGCTGACTGGTAGACGCAGGTCTCTCCCACGACGAATATTCCGATTTACTCTGTGTGTTTCACCATGGCTGTTTCATGTCTTCTTGGTCTGATTAATATCGGCTCCGACGTCGAGCTGAAAGACATCCTGTCGATGGCTGTCTCTAGCCTCTACCTCTCATACCTGGCCGTTGGAACTTTGTTTCTGTACCGGCGTGTATGTGGCCACATCCGCGCCAGCAGTGAGTGCGAGGACATGATTGTGAATGTCCCCAATGCGCCTTTAGTATGGGGGCCATTCCAGGTTCCTGGGATCCTGGGGACGGTCAACAACGGCTATGCTGTTTGCTACATGATTATTGTGGTTTTCTTTAGCTTTTGGCCCACAACCGTAGTGGTGGATTATCAATCTATGAACTACAGTGTCCTTGGGACATTCGGGACGGTCCTTATCGCGATTATATATTATGTAGTTCGGGCGAAATATGTTTACCACGGTCCGGTGGTAGAAGTGTGATAGTAGTTACTGAGTAGTAGTCTAGATTTCCGTACCATGGTTCATAACAGAATGGTTAAAAAATCGGATCGCCCTGGTTTCAAATTTGTGCCATGAGAACCAACGTCCGGAGTTGTTGTCAAGTTGTTAAGGCAAAAAAAAAAACACGGATGGGTGCGGATGACAGCCACCTGAGGCATCCACTGTCCCAGTAACGGGATGGCGCTCTTATTGGCCAATGCAGTCACCGCCTTTGGCTACCTCGGCCTATGAACATACTATTTTAGGAAAGAAAGATGTTTTGTAGTCACGTGCCCTGATCAAGATGGATAGGGATGAAGTTGAATTAATTGGAAGTCTTGAGCGTTTGGTGACTGGTAAATTAGTATAGGTCACTGAGCTCATCGTTGTAAGTTCCAGATCATCGGGGTTTCCCGGCAAAACTAAACTAAGAATAAAAACTCAATCCCGACCGGGGAAAAAAAAAATCTGCCAAAAGTCAAAGCCGAATACCGGAGCCGAGAGCTTAATCACAGTCATAGACTTGCATAAAACTCGGTCGCTCGTCCGGCATCGCGTGTGGAATCTGCGCTTAGAGCCAATTACACTTCCTCGACCACTCCACAATTGGTGGAGAACAACGGATCGTGCAAGATGGAAGCGCGATGTTGCGATTGGCGAGAAATCTTGGGAGGCAAAAAAAAGAAGCTTTGTCCTGCATGGGGGATTCTCTTTTTATCTCTGGGGTAATTCTGATTTTGGGTAGGGAAATAGGATTCCCACAACCGTTCATCAATCCTACCCAAATACTCCAAGGTAGATCATGGAGAAGTCCACTTTGGCTGAGGATCCCATCCAGCCAACGGGCTACAACGAGTATGATGTGCCTCCCAAGGACGAAATCCAGCTCAATGTGGGTGGTCGCGGAGCGACGCAGCGACGCCTGCGGAACTACCATGTTACCATGATTGGTTTTTGCAGTGGAATTGGCACCGGTTTGTTTGTGGGAACAGGCGCCGCCTATGCCAAGGCCGGACCTGCTGGCTTGCTACTGGCATATATCGTCGTGGGCCTGGTGCTATGGTGTGTGATGCAGAGCATCGGCGAGCTGGCAACCCTGCTACCCACCGCCGGATCCTTTCCTCACTGGGCCACTCGCTTCATCGATCCGGCGGTCGGGTTTTCACTAGCCATCTCATATGGATACTGTTATACGATTGCCATTGCCTCGGAGGTCTCCGCCGCTGCTGTCATTGTCTCCTATTGGACCGACATCACACCGGCTGTGGTCATCACAGTGGGTCTAGTACTGATCCTAGCCAGCAATCTAATGAGCGTGCGTTTCTATGGCGAAACCGAAGTCTTTGGGGGTGCGGTCAAGGTCCTTTGCTTCCTCGGCTTGGTGATTGTATCCATTGTTATCACGGCTGGTGGAGCGGGCAACGATAGCATCGGCTTCCGTTATTGGAATAATCCGGGACCGTGGACGAATTACAACGGTATCACCGGTCCAACGGGACATTTCTTGGGCTTCCTCTCGTCCTTTGTGAACGCCTCATTCAGCTTCATTGGTGTCGAGACCGTGGTCATCACCGCTGCCGAGTCCGTTAATCCTCATCACGCGATCCCGAAGGCTGCCCGCCGTGTGACATACCGCATCGCCTTCTTCTATATCCTGGGTGCCCTTCTGATTGGCCTTATTGTCGATCCGCGTAACCCAGCCCTTGTCTCGGGCTCGGATAACGCGAACAGTTCCCCATTCGTGATCGCCATCAAGGAGGCCGGCATCAATGCCCTGCCGTCGATTGTCAATGCATGCATTCTGGTTGCGGCCTGGTCCGCCGGTAATTCCTACTGCTGGGTGGGATCCCGTATGATCGTGGCCATGACCACAGACCGTCAGTTACCGCAAGTCTTTGGCCGGGTCACCAAAAAAGGTGTGCCCTATGTCGCCGTCATTACGGCTTGGCTGTTTGGGCCATTGGCGTACCTGAGTAAGTCAACTTCCATCGGGTCTAATCATTTGACGACAAGAACTTGTCCATCGTGTGTGTGCTAACAGACAACAACCTTTAGGTCTCGGCTCTGGTGGCGCGGCGCAGGCGTTTTCCTGGCTTCTGAATCTCAGCACCGTGGCTGGTTTGATCGCATGGGCCACACTCTCCTTGTGCTATATTCGCTTCCACGCGGCGATGAAAAAGCAGGGTGTCTCTCGTGATACGCTCCCGTGGAAGTCGCCGCTGCAACCCTATGCTGCCTGGGTAGGATTCATTGGTTCGACCATCATCGTTCTAGTCGCTGGATTCCCCGTCTTCTTGAAGGGTAACTGGTCTTCCTCGGACTTTGTGGCGTCATACATCGGCATTCCTATCTTCATTGTACCTATCATCGGATGGAAGATCCTCAAACGTACTAAGGTTAGTTGGACAAATCGTGAATTTCTTTTTTTTTTTTTTCATTGAGGAACCTCGCTGACCGCAGGCAATGCCTAGTTTGTCCGAGCTGCTGAGATCGATTTGTGGTCGGGCCGTCTACAAGAAGGGGAGATCCTGGTGGAAAGGCGGCCTCCCCAGAATCTTTGGGACCGCTTTGTGGACTGGCTTGTTTGATTTTATTCAATCTATATAAAGATAGATCTACGTCGCGAGCGACGCTGTTGGTTCAACACCGCCACCGTACGCGAGTGATTACCTGACTGTCGAGTGCCCTGGAAGGTTCTCGGTACTTATGCCAGCGACTGCATTTTATTATGTAAATAGAGATAGACCTTTGCATGACTGGGGACTGAGTCCCGGCATAGCGTTTTGTATTATATCAACTATATGAGCGAATGAAGAACATCAATAATTCAATATGCATTCTCAGTCCTGGAGCCTACCCATGTTCAACTATAATAATAACAAAATGGCCCATCCAGCGTATCCATCAAATCCCGGAATTTCACCGGCTCGGCCGCAAATCCAAAATCAATCATCTCGTCCAAGGTCATATTCGCCGATGGGGGAGTGTCTACAATCGTGTGCGTGCCCCAGATGGCATGTCTTCTCCTGTCCGGGTCCAACCCTTGCCAGATGGTCCACACTCGATCGATCTGTGCATGATGCAGATAAAACATTGGATCTCCGGGACTACCAGCTGCGTCGCCCATGACCATACCAACCCCGACGTGACCGCCGCGATGAACGCCATATGGCACAGATGGCATAGGAAACCGTGGATCTTTCTGCATCACGGCCTGGAACCACTCAATGGTGTCGTATGAAAGAATCAGCTCCGTGATGTGACGAAAGGTCACGGAAGATCGTGTAACAGTTGGGTTGATATCTCGTTTGAGGCAGTGTGGATGATGCTCGAAGCGGTAGTTCACTGGCGTTTGGCCCGCGCCATCAATAGGGCCCATGTTGATGGTGTAGTTCGAAAAGGGACCCGCATAAACACATCCTCCGCCAGTGCCGACGGGGAGGTACTCATGGATTGAGGGCCAGTATGGCGGTTCCCTGTTCGGGATAAATTCCCCGTTCGATCCCATGCTGTATGCGTCGCCATTGAACAGAACGGACAGTTGAGGATCCTCCGCGTCCAAGCCCCACTCCCAGTAAGGGAGGGATCCGGTATACTGGCATTTTGATTTGAGATCTTGTTCGAACGTGTGGATAAAGTAGCGATGCCAGGCAAGGAAATCCGCCTGTAGAGCTTGTTAGACAGCTGTGTATCTGGATTTGATATCCGTGGGAAAGATTCCAATCTTACAGTCATATGGATAACACTTGTTAGATTGATGTGTGTGGCCAGAAATTCGTCATAACGTGTCTTCACCCCAGGATAAGTCTGGCGAAGATCGTCTGACAGGGTGGTTGGAATGCTCTGCAGGCACCGAACAGCGTCGGTAAACTGCAGTCTTTCCTCTGGGCTCAGTTCACGCCTACTAACTGGTTAAATCTCGTATTTTAACAGGGGAAACATATCGACCACTGTTAGGTATACCATTCTTTGCGTATATGGGCATCCTCAGGCCGGCAACCACTCGCTCTAATCCTCTTGATATTTTCAGTTGCTGTATTGGCAAGCTGATGGAGAGCGATGCCTTGGTCAACTTGATCAGGTGAGAAATCATGGATGGTTATGGCTAGTATAGCTAGCGGTCCCCAGGCTAACCAAGCGAGCACAGATATGTACAGATGCATTTTGGACTGTGACTTTCCTTCGGACTGAGAATGGCAAAGAATATTGAAGTTGAATCTCATCCATCCCTTGTTTTGGAGGTTGCAACAACCTTGCAGATGACAAATCATCAGACAGCGTGACACTGCAGAATTCCTGCATAAATAAGATATCCAGATAGCCGCATTTAGCACCACCATCCAAACACTATTTTCCTGCAGCTAATCCCCACCAGTGGTGTCCTGATTGGTGTCCTGGAGTGATATCTCCGGTCCATATTAAACCCAAGAGCTAAATACGAATCCGCCAATGCCACTTATAATCGAGACAGGCCCATCGTGCGGTCATAAAAAGGAACATGGAGAACAGAAGGACACAGCCCAACCAGATCACCACAATCCGCGAGCCCACTTTCTCCAACATTTCACCTCCGATCGGAATACAGATCAATGTACTAACCCTGTCAGTATGGTATCGACACAACCTTGTAGCCGAGATGATACTCACGCGAAGCTCACTAGACAGTAGCATGTCCCAAATCTCATCCCGATCTCTTTGGCATTGGACACTTGCCGAATACAGACGGGGGCAAGACTAATGAACGATCCGGAACAGAGACCATAGATGGCGCTGAAGATATACAAGGCCGATAGGTGACTGCTGAAGGGGTATAGGATTACGAACATCGTCACAACAGCAGACAGAATCAAAATAATGAGTACATTCAAGCGACCGTATCGATCGGCGACCCGGCCGGCAAGAAGTCGCCCGACTAAGGAGCATCTACAACTCCGGTCAGAAGGGGAACCGGATGAACATATGTCAATTCCGCGGGGAGACATACACATTGAGCACCACTAGTGTGTACACACTCGCACTGGTATTGAAGCCTTGCTTCGTCACGTACGTAGGAAATAGACCGATGAGGGCAAACACCTCCAATTCAAGCGCTGCGCCGGTTAACGATGCAAATCACAACCACCAAGAGGTCGCGAGAAACCTACCAAAGATCCCGCAGCTTAACAAGGTGAAGCGAGAGTCCTTGAAACATCGGATATCGATCGCCGCCTTCAGCTGTCCCTTGGGGAGGCGAGACTTGACGAGGAATGAGGCGAGTCCGCACAGCACGAGAATCACCAACGCTAGGATACGCATGCCCCACTGGAAGCCCAGGTTGGCAAAGGCGCCCTTCAGGATAAACGGGAACACCACGCCGCCCAGACCTGCGCCCGCCATGGCCGTTCCAATCGCCATGCCGGCGCGCGCCTGGAACCAGTGTGGGACACAGGACATCCCGATGGTGCTCGTGAACGCTCCCCCGATGCCGGCCATAATGCCAAAGCAGATGATGAAATGCCAATACTGAGTGCACTCCGCCGTTAGGAACAGACTCAGGACATAGAAGGCCGACCCGGCGGCGACCAGCTCTCTCGGGCCGTAGGTGTCGAACAAGGGGCCCACGAAGACCCCCAGGCCCAGCGAAACAAAGACAAACAGTCCGGAGATCCAACCCACATTCTGGCTCGAGTAGTTCGCCAGCTGGTGGGATTCCAGGTAGGATTGCAACACCCCGACCGAGTTCATCAGGCCATACGACGACATCAGCAGCAAGAAGGAACCCAAGACCACGAGCCAGGAGCGATAGCCCCCATCTGGAAAGCTGTCTGCATCAGCAGTTGACTCTTCCAGCACGGTATGATTGTCTTCTACTTGGAAGTCATCCACCGGTCGGCGGGGCTCACTGGCACCGACCGCGGGATGGTTAATTTCCACTCCGGAAGAGACAAAAAGCCTTCCCTGTTCCGATGTAGCCATGGTTGAGAGCAAGTAGGACGTGTGGGAGGTCGTCCTGAAAATGATATGAGAATTTATGAAGGTGTCAGACGGGGTGGGGCGTTAAAAAACAAGTCATCAAGAGGAATCGGCCAGGGAAATTCCTTCCAAATCCGTCCAGTCGGAGTCGGCCTCCAATTCCGTGGCTTATCGGCTCGATGGTCCGCAGGTCCTTTGGAAGAAGAAGGATGAGTCAAAGGATATGATTCTAGACCTCTAGAGATCGTCGTCCAGGTCATACTGGAATTGCAGCTGGCGCACATCTCCCATCCACCCTTCCTCCTCTTGGCACCGAGCCCTTAGACCCAATTCATGATAACTATTCCATATCCGCGAGCCCAATCGTGCGTCCAAAGTCTGATCCTCCTCTCGGACTTCGGGGAGTTCGCAACAGTTATGAGTGCTGCAGGAAGAGATCAGGATGTCAGTATCGACGACAAAATCCCCCAAGCGCTCGAGATGGCGCACGATTGCCCGGTCGGACGCATCGCGACCCCACCAAGTAATTCTTGGCGCTTCAAAGACGCTTAATCCGAGTTGTGGCGCAAAAAAGAGATGCTCGAACAGCGTTTCCATGCGTAGGCCATCTTTCGTTTTGCTAGGATCTCCCTATAAAAAAATACCTGGATTAGCCTCGTGACCGTTGTCAGACATTCCCTCACGCACGCACTGGAACCTCATAGTATAGATAGACGCCAAAGGCGCCGTAGAAAGAATGCCACCGCGCTAGCTTAAAGACCGGGGGCTGTTGCAGCAGCATTCGACGCCAACTGGCCTCTCGTCGAAGAAAGGCCGTTTGCGTTTCTGGGTATTTGGCCATGCGGCAGGTTGAAAGGCACTCGCCATCTCGATATTCGGGGAATGTCATATTTGTCGACGCGTCAAAAACGAATGGGAATGCTTCGACCAAGAGTGGATTCGAAACTTTGCGACCGGAGGAATCACCGGTGCCAGGCATGAAAAACAGAGCCCTCTGCAATGCCGGTGAGTCCTGGATCAGAGTGCGCCATGCCCGACAGGTTCTTTGGGCGGACATCAAGAGCGTCCGAAGGTCCAGTTGCAACAGAATCAACTCGAGTACTTCGGGAGTGGACAGAGTCCGGTGAACCGCTAGTCGAGCAGCAGTGGCCATTTTATATGGTCTAGACGTGTGTTCGGGGTGATTCAACCGGGGGTCTCTGGGGCATCGATGGGGGTTATTTAACAACTGCCACCTTACTCGAATGGTATAAGAACAAGAAGACCGTGCTCATGTGGGTCTTCGAAACACGAATGAAATCAGGTGAACAGGTAAAAGACGGGATGCTCAAGTCATCTCAGCGCCGATTCATATTGATCTTCAATCAATGAAGATGAGGGCAAGTAGGCACTGATTCGTTTAAAAGAACGCGAGCCTTTCACAACTAAAGTGAGTCCTATACATCCCTGTGCTTGCCAATTGTATTGTATCATAGTCTGCTGGAATGTTTCACCACAAGTAAACCTTCATCTATCATACCGTCACTATATCGTCTTAGACGGTAGGATTGCTCACTATGAAGAAAGGACTAAGATTGATGTCCATTTCAGGGCCGTCTTTGATGTCTGAAACTGTGATACTGGTTACGAACTGCTATTTGAAAGAGTTTTGCGTTGGAAAGGTAAAGCTGAAGGCCGGAAGACTGGGTAACGGAGCAACAGATAGTTAATCCTGAGCTCCAATGTGAGATATCATCAACGGCCTTGCCGGCATCATTGCGCTTCGGGTTTCTGTATTGAGCTGCTCAGCGTGTCCTCAGCTATACACTAAAACTATTGTAATATTCAACACGAAGAAACGCCTCATCTAGCTTGATATCCTGAACGAGATTCACAGTCCCAATGGCCAGCGAAAAGCGTTTTATCCCGAGTGTTCTACAGAGGACTGGCTGAATAGCCTCAAGTTCCCCAACGGAATAATCAACAGTGCCATGGACATATCGCGCCACTGGGGTATGTACATACATCCGTCACTTGGCCTTTCATCCTTATGGTAACTCACCTTTTGCTATCGGATCACTACATTGGTTAAACCCCTTGAGCCCTAATGTGCCCTGCTAATGTATCTTCCGGTGCTCTCTTCCTATAAGAGGAAGATTCTTGACCCCTTTGGCCTGCTCAGGAATTGGCCTACAGTCGATCAGACCAAGTTGAATAAGCACACGTGCTTGATCCCAGTATCATTGCGCTCCCACTGAGGAATTTTTGGAATTTACTGACAGCCTATCTGCCGTTATGTGCCTTTGCGAGGACGCAACTATCCAACAATAATACACATTGCATTGATCAAACAGCCCCATTTGTGTGTACGGGACAGAAATGTCAGACGAAATGAGGGATGGACCGTAGCTGCTCTCTGTACACAAAGAACAAAACAACACAACCTAAGGACCCTCCTCGACGAAGTTCTAACTAGGCACAGCCACCGCGGTCAATTTCTGTACCTCCACAAGTTATCAGACTCCGCCACGCTCCCAAGCAACAGCTGTACCCACACTATGCTTGGCAGGTATAGAGACCCCAATCACATCTGCATATTGTCTTCGCACAGGTACCGTTTCGGACTGTAATGAACTTGTTGTCAAGATAGTGGCACAGCCAAGAAATGCATGTTTCATGAAGCAATCCTCTCCCTAATTACCTCACAGATGGCTTTTGATGCCCCTCCTAATACTTATACTGGATGGTGGTCCTGATACCACAAAGGATCGACCAGATTAACCCATTGATAAACCAAGACTCAACTCACACATTATGACTATTGATCAAATGCATATTGAACAACGGGGTGAGGAAATTCTCAATGTTTTCAGCACTGCTTTTGAAGCTCTCCTAGCTGCCGACCCGGCTGCCTTCGAGGTCAAATTCCGGAAGATGGCTGCCTCTGCATTTGCCTTCTACCGCGGCAGTGCCTGTCTGTTTTACCACGACTTGACACAAAACAAGCATGACGACCAATATCTGGACGACCAAACCAGTCGGATTTGGATCCACGGCGACTTGCACGCAGAGAACTTTGGCACATACATGGACTCCGAAGGCAGATTGATATTCAATGTCAACGACTTCGACGAAGCATACATTGGCCCTTTTACTTTTGATGTCAAGCGTTTGGCTGCGTCGATTGCCTTGATTGGGTACGCAAAGGCCCTGAGTGATGAACAGATTACCACCCTTGTCCGAGCATTCGCTACCTCCTACTGCAAGCAAATACGTACACTGGCTGCCAATGATACCACAGAGGAGGAATTACGTTTCACCATAGACACAGCAAAGGGTCCACTCCTTGAAGCATTACGCTCAGCTCGTACGCAGACCCGGTTCGGGTTACTGGATTCTATGACGGAAATCCGTGATTCGGAACGACGGTTCATTCGAGGCGGCGGTGCTGTCGAGCTCAACGACGAAACGAGGGACAAGATTGGAGCCGCCTTCAACGGATATCTGAAAACGCTTCCGGAACCAAGGAACAACCGTCCTGCCTCCTGCCAGGTCAAAGACATCATCGGCCGTCGGGGTGTCGGTATCGGTTCCGCTGGCCTTCCGTCGTACAACATTCTGCTTGAAGGAAATACCGAGGCTTTGGAAAACGATGTCGTGATTTATCTCAAGCAGTCGCAGGCTTCCGCTGTCTCTCGCCATGTCACCAACAGTGCAGCCCGGGACTACTTTATCCACGAGGGTCATCGGACGGTGATGTCGCAGCGTGCTCTCCAGGCCCATGCTGATCCATGGCTCGGGTGGACTGAGATGGATGGAGCAGGCTTACTGGTAGCTGAGGTTTCTCCCTATGCGGTAGACCTTGCCTGGTCAGACATCAATGACCCAGAGCAAATGATCGCGGTCGTTACCGATCTGGGCCGGGCTACGGCAATGATGCATGCAGCTGGGGACGATGAAAGCAGTCACTCAACCCTGGTCCAATTCTCTACAGAAAAGGCCATTGATACTGCCATTGGGGTAGATGGGGAGGGATTCTCGCAATTTGTGGTCGACTTCGCGCATACTTATAGTGCTCAGGTGCGACGGGACCACCAGATCTTTGTTGATTTGTTCCGCAACGGCCGCATCCAGGGGCTGTCTGTCAATGGCCTCAATTAACTTCGTGCGCCTAGATGCCACATACCGACCTCAATAATTTCCATCCTCGGTTCAACTGGCAAAGCCGTGATAGAAAAGCGCAGCGAGCTGCTGTTCACAGACTATGGAGGACAATTTGAAAAGTTCTAGACGTCACAAATGAAAGATCAATATGTATTTTTTTGAATTAGAAATTTTATTTAAATCAAATACTCTTGATACTACAGATAATCTATTAAATAAATTAATTCCTGGGTATCTATTTATATGTAAGGAGGCAGAATGGCCATATATCCCGAATATAGCCAGTAGACCCCAAGGTCACATCAACCTACACGTATGGACGCACCGCACCTCCTGGGATATGCTTTGGATGTAGAGACAGACTTTGAAAGAAAAGCAGCAGCGTACCAGCAACGGAAGTCAGGAAAATCAGCTCCACCAGAGTCGACTAAACTCAATATAGAACTGCGTCTAATGGCAGCCGCGATGTTGCAGCACATCCACATGAGGTTCGATCCTCGTCTCAAACAAGTAATCAACAGGATGAAATCTGGGTGACAGTGGACTATCATGCTCTCTCCACGTTCGCCAGTCATGAACCCAACACCCACAGCCCCAATTATATACCGGCCAGGCCTATTTTACCTGTTTCGCTCCCTCTCCTTTGCTCACTACAAGAGTTGATATCGGACAATCATAGAGAGCATACTCGAGATGACGACCCAGAAGCTGACCTTTCCGTCTTTTCCGGGCGACTTGCCACCAATATTGTTACAGATAACTCCACAGCCCACTGAGCCGTTAGTACAACAATGTCAACTTGAGCCCGTTAAGCACCTTGCAGTTTCGGGTGTCCACCGAACCTCGCGGAGGAATATATCGCCTGTATGAACTGTCCTACCACTTCTGTGTCGCTGTCTCTGACTTACAAACCACAGGCAAGGAAACGTTATCTTTCCTCCACACATGAGGATCAGATAGTGAGTAATGTCATCCGTCGGCACTCCAGTGCGATACCTTCCCACCATTCGTGCAGTCCCCTGGATCAGTCAACACCGTTCAATGGCGGCGCAAAGAGCTTGGAGGGCAAAACGACACTCCACATCTGCGCGAAGGGCTACACTACCATGCTTCAGTTTCTACTAGATCATGGCGCGGAGATCGACGCAACTAACTTCGTAGGCCGTACTGCCCTCTACTACGCGACGAGAGGACATACTGACTCGGTGTCGGTGTTCCTTGAGCAGGGCGCTGACACGGAGCTGACTGATGAGTTCGGGCAGACTCCATTGCATATCGCCGTGGAGCTGGGATATGAGGCGGTGGCGAGACCGTTGATTCGCGAAGGAGCTGATATCAATGCTCTCATCGCTAGTGGAATACAGCAGCAATCATAATCCTAATATTTAATGCGCGTAGAGCAGCTAACCAAGTACGATTACTCCGGCAAGTCGGTACGGGTGACAGTACATTTGCCACGAACAGAAAAATTTTTGAAGAACTATATTGTGATTATACATCACCTAAGGAGGATTTGAACTTTTCGAGTCTTTCTGTTTCCTTACCCATTTGGGAAGTTGATGGGAGTGGGTCCCGAAGAGTCCAAGACCCACACTTTCCAGAGCCCTATTTATATAAAGTTGGAATACCGTCTCCAGCCCATGGCCAGCATACCTTTCGCTACTTGATCAGATTCACATTTCACCAGCTTTGCCCGAGTTATCTCTTGTGTCTCAGACCAAGAACTGAACAATTTCACTTCAATAATTTCACTCCAATATATCGGCATGGGCAGCGCACAAATCGCACAGACCTTGCTGCAGTCGGCGCGTGTCGCCCCGGAAATCTTCCAGCTGCGTCCAGATTACCGCGCACTTTTGATGGTAGTGGAAGGAATCCCCCCAGGTCCTAGCGATGAGTCTAGTGAGGCCTTCCTCCAGGGAGCAGAGGCTACTGTGAAAGACCTGCTTTCAAAGTCGCCCGTGACGGAACTTCCACATATCGCCGCCTGGCGGGAGGCGTATAAGGCTTTCGGAGCCAAGCCCCAGAAAACACGCAACAGTCTAGAGGCGTTGACGCGTCGTGCAGCGACTAGCTTGCCACGGGTCAACCGGTTAACCGATATATACAATGCAATTTCGGTCAAGCATCAGATCCCCTTTGGAGGCGAAGACCTCGACAAGTACGACGGAGCGCCGTTTCTGGTGCGTGCCACGGGTCAGGAGCCGTTCCAGACCTTCTCTGGGGGAGAGCCCCAGACGGAACTGGCGGCACCTGGAGAGCCTATCTGGTGTGATAATACTGGCATTACATGTCGTCGCTGGAATTGGCGACAGGGCCCACGCACAGCGCTGACGGATGACACCACGCGTGTACTATTTATCCTGGATGCATTGCAGCCGCTTTCAGACGATGCTCTTCAGCAGGCTGCCGACGAACTGGCTTCGGCATTGAAAAGCTTATCTCCCGAAGTACAGACATCACAACGAATTATTGACTCTTCTTCTGCTTGAGCTCGACTGAGCAGTTCTGACATATTCTATGGAAATGCGTGCCAAGAGGCATTGTTACATTGGCTTACGAGCATGATGCTAGCGTCTGTGATAGGAATCATCCTCGGTTCCTGGTGGTAGCGGTGGTCGCAGCCTTATACAAGAGGAATCCAGGATAGCGACAATCATTCTACCATACCACTCTAGGCGGGTCCAAAGCAATCTGCGTTGGAGGGATGTTTATGTATAGACAGGTTATGCGACCCTGTGCATCTCAACTATCATGCTACTTTGGTACAAATGGTGGCTTCCAAATGTTATTTTATATAGGGTCTGCATACGGCAAACCCTTGACGGTTCAGATAGATTTTAACTGGAGATAAGCTCTTTACATGATATATAAATTACAAACTCTCCTGCCTAGCAAGGGGAATGGACTATCGTGCTTAATGGCCTGCATTTGCCTTTTCCCCATGCACATTTATAATGGTCCCTCTACTCAGGTTAGCAGAAGCAGGTTCTTTCCCCTTTCTCAGGGCAGTCGAAGGCAGCTTATATTCTGTTAACATCTTATGACGAAGGTTCTGTAAACTGGTAATAGCAAGCGGTGTGGCCGAGATCTTTATCACTTTAGGGAGGATATATTTATAATACTATGTACATGCTCCGCAGAAAGATTGGTTGATATTTCGGCTTCACTGCACTATTATAGTTTATTTGTTTTAGTGATTCCCAGTAGCATTCATATTAACGATAGACATGAGGTTCTGGTAGCTTCTATAATCCTCTCCTTGCACGAAGGCTGTTCGGTTGGCATCCCAGTCGTGAGATGCATACCCGTATTTGTCAGACACATAGCAGTAGCAGAAGGGAAATCCTCTAGTGTCGGGTTCTATCTCAAGCTTTTTCCGCACCTGTGTGACAAGCGTTGGATCTGCCATGTTGTCCTCTAGATCGAGTAGATCCTCTTGATTATAGTCCCAATGCAAGGAAAAGGAGATGAGACGAGTCGGAGATTTCTGTGCCAGAGCACAAAGCAGTTCGCTCCAAGACATACCTTCACCACCTAAGCAGTCCCTGCAGCTGTAGCACTCTCGCAGCGAAATTGACTCTAACATACTAAGATGCCGGAGGAGGAAATCTTTCAACTCAAGGCACAGATAGATATTGCCGAGTGTGAGGCCTCGCAGCCGTGGCATGGTAGCCTTCCACAGGGATATATCATAAGCACGGGGTTGCCCTGCATCACCTAGCGGTGCAGACTCTTGGGGATCGAAACTGAATTCCTCGACAGATGTGAGGTGGTTGAAGAACCACGGGCCCAGACAGTCTGGGAATCCAAAGAAACCCTCATGGGTATTGAGCATCCAACCGGCACCGTTGTCCCATTGCTTCAGGGACATATTAAACCTCGTTAACTGCGAAAGAAAACCGTGGAATTCTCCGGTGGAGAATACCGATATCGGCACAATATTAAGTGCATGGATGGTGAGTGAGAGGGGGATTTGACCTCCCGCCCAGCGTTGAGAACTGTAGCTAGACAGGATGGCGCGGAAACTTGCCGCCATCAGTCCCCGCCAGGCATTCTTTCCTTCCTCGACCACAGCTGCTTGGGGATCATCATTGAACTCTGAGCACCAAAGATTTTCCATGAGCTTCTCGTAGTCAAAGGGAAACTCGATGCTGAGGGTTTGGAGACCCGTGAAAGAGGTGAGGTTGGAAAGAACGGTGTCGACCTCTAGCGGATAGATATCCTCGACTGGTAAATCTTGCTCCTCTGTGGAAGGGCTAGTGAGCTTAACCGTGATATTGCACGTTGTGAGGGTGTCAATAACGGGCTTTTCACACACCTGGTTCACAGTTGGCGATGTAATGCAATTCCTTGATGTACCCAGAGAAGTTGCCATCGGCGATAGCCTTTATAGACAAGGCACTCTTGGCCGTGTTACTTAGATATACGACCGCAAATATACGCGGAGCCAGAAGGTTGCGAAGCCATGCACAAGTGCTACTCAGATTGATTACATCACGGAGGTACAAGGAACACTTGGCGCGACTTCTGCCCTCGTCCTGGTCCTCTTCCTCAGCGTCACAAAGGATGTCAATTATCATGTACCATATCTCTACCACCATAAACGGTGGGGGACTGGGACGCAGCTCCTCTGTTCCGGGTGAAAGCATCATCGTGCGTTGTTCTGAGAAAGCCGAAGCACCACCAGGTCAAATTTATATTGATTTCCCAGCCGGAGGGGGAGGTCAAGGCTTCAAGGCAGCAACGCGGGTGGAGCCTGGGGCCAAGAAAATTTCAATCAGAAGGATCCATACATAGTCGACCGTCCAATTTACAGCACAATAAGAGACATTTGCGGTTTCCTAACTTTTATTGCTAATTATTTTACAGTATTACTAGAGAAACTAGAACCGCTTAACTCGCACCACCTGACCCAGAAATAGAGTCACACACCACACATCGAAACACCACACAGCGTAATTTGGCGCCCCTTATTATATAGTAGAAGCAAAGCAAGGATGGGTATCATGACGGGCGGCCTCAAGATTTCTTCAGGCTGATCTTCCGTACCCTAAATAGATAATAGAGGGTGATCGCCCCAATGATGTTGAACACAAAATACGCCCAGAAAATGCCGTAGTTTCTCCAGCGATCCTCCCAGTAGATCCACCGCTGGGCAAGGTATTGGTCCGCAGAGTCCATGGCGCAGTACTCGCAACCGGACGTTGCGTTCTTGTTATACAACTGGCCGCCAGCTAAATCGAGATATTTGCTCATATAGTCACCACAGGTTTGGCCGTCGGGGGGATCAAAAACACTGAGTTCCGTCGAGCTACATTGCACAGGACGACCATGCAGGGCCGTGCTTCCAATGCCTCCGATGTAGTATGTGAATGGGGACACGCGGTACATGAAGATCCAGAACCCGGGGAGGGCCGGGGGTGGCTGCATGACACCACTGAAAACGAACGAGAGACCAAACATGAGTGTGGCAATCATGGAGGCCAGTGCCGGCTCCCCGACCGCACAAACCACGAATTGGGCCATGCTCGCGCTATAGATGAAAAACTGCACGATAAAGAGCATGATCAGAGCGCGGCGCTCGGAGTCTTGGTTGGCGCCAAAGACAGACCAGTAGAATGAGGCCCAGGAGCAAACGCCCAGTCCAAATTGGAAGGGGATTTCGACGATCATCTGAGAAAGGATGAAGACCTTCCAGGAGTAGACTCGGGACGGTCGCTCACGGACTTCATAGAGGGCACGCTGGGCAACGAACTTAGGCATGATCTGGTTCACCAAGGTGTTGAAGATCGTACACAGCAAGAAAATACTGAAAAGAGAGTTTTGGAAGCCTTGCTGCGTGTTGTCAGTCTGCCAGAAGGAGAACCCGATGAAAAGACCGGATACAATGCCCAGAATAAACTTTGAGAAAATATACTCCGGTTGTCTCAAGTATTGCTGAAACACACGGCGAAGAACATGATAGAGCTGACTGTGTAATGGCATTGCGAATTCATCGTTGCTCCCTGCATCCTCGGTAGAGTATGTGGAATCACTTCCTCCGGTGAAATGCAATCGATCAAGCTCCTCAAGTACGTCTTTATGCTCAGGGCTCTCGTTCCACACTTTCACCCAGTCTGGCGCGTTCTTATCCACATCACCGGAAACTGTCTCAAGGATATACTCCGCTGGGTTTTCATGCTCCTTGCAGATTCGGCCGCCGTTTCGCTCGAAGTAGTTTAGCAGAATGCGGGAGTCCTTGCCAATATCACCGAAATAGACTGTCTTGCCCCCTTTCGCTAGGAACAACAAGCGGTCAAAGGTTTGGAACAACATGGCACTGGGTTGGTGGATCGTTGCCAATACCGCCTGGCCTTGGCTGGCGAGTTTCTTGAGAAACGCGCAGATGGTCCATGAGCTCTGAGAGTCTAAGCCACTGGTGGGCTCATCGAGGAAGACCAAAAGGGTTGGCTTAGCAGCGAGCTCGACCCCGATGCTCAATAGCTTTCGCTGCTCCACATTCAACCCTTCACCTAGTCTACCAACGACTGCCTCAGCATAGTCCTCCATTCCCAAGACTTGAATTACCTGCTCGACATAATCATACTTTTCCTGTTGAGAGACCGATCGAGGTTGACGGAGCATAGCACTAAAGCGGAGAGCCTCCCGCACGGTAGTGGTCTCAAGATGGAGATCCTGTTGCTGGACATAACCAGTTCGACGGGGGAAATTCGCAGCTAGCCCCTTTCCATTCACAAAGATGTCTCCTGTCACGACGCCAATCGAGACTCGCTGGGCAAGTACATCCAGCAGAGTAGTCTTTCCTGCACCAGAAACCCCCATCAAAGCTGTCAACGTCCCAGGCTTGACCCATCCATTCACGTTATCGAGCAGACGCCGGGTTCCATCCTTGACCGGAATGTCATAGCAAACTGATTTCCAGGACAGGATATCCTTCTGCTCGGGAAGGCGGATAGAATCTGCATCAGCCCTAACCTCCGCTGTAGGGTTTGTCTTCTCCACCTCAATACCGTTGCCGTCTTGCAGGTAGCTAGGAGCATGACCAGGTCGAAATACCAATGCTTCGGCTTTGGACTTGTCTGCCGATATAAATTCCGTTGCAGTGAGGTAAAGTACGTGAAAGAAGATCAGGAATGCGATCAGGATACCAAAGTTTCGCCACAAGTGCGAGTAGGAATATTGGTAGTTCTGCTCAATGAAAGCGTCCCCAGAGACAAACCGTTCACCGGCAACTGCACCGACGACCGAGCAAATAAAAGATGTGCCTGTGCCATAAGACGGGATGTAGGAAGCGCATTCGAAATTCCGGCCATGGAATTCATTGGAAACGAGAGCTTCAAATGCATAGTAAACAGGGTTAATCCAGCGGATCCATGAGAGCCATGGATGCATATAGGGCTGTGGCAACGTGAATCCCGTGTAGACTACAATACATAGAACCAGGATACCTGCAAGCGCCATGGCCTGTCCCACAGTCTGGGTCAAAGAAGCCAAGCTGCGAAACATTCCTGACATGGTGAGAACGGTGCATATCAGAAGTAGATAGAAGATGAAGAACTGAGACGGCTCCCGACGTAGGTTGGCTAAGAAGTAGAGGATGATACTGAACACGGAACAGCGAAGGATTTTGATCGGCAGATCAACCAAGGCACTCGCCAAGGCTTCAGTGAATGGATGCACAAAGGCATAGGCCGCCTGCTTTTCCACGATGGGCCGCTGGGCGTACAATTGCATAATTTCGCCAATAGTGATCAAAGCGTTCATAAGAACCGAGAAATATAGGACAGCGCCTTTCTGAAAGAATGCATTGCTGGAAT